GACAGCAGTGCTGAATATCAATTATAAGTCTTTAATTTGCCGTATAATTCGTTAAATATAGCATTATCATTTTTTCAACCAATCGCTCAACATAGGAACGGTAGTGACGACGCCCCTAAACGAACGAATGATGTTCACTAAAACCAAAGTTTTTGACGGAAATGCAACGAACTCGAAAGTTGTCTATTAATTTCAAATATATCAGTTTGCCTGTATTTGTTTTGGTTACGAAGGAAAAACGACTACATAAAAAACAGTGTTTATGAATATTTTCTAAGATCTCGATCATAGGGGGCAACCATGTCAAAATAGTTGTATCTGTACGCAATAATCAGGATCATGTACCAAATAGTTTTACGATATATAGCATAACAAAGCCACACAAAGGATTTCAAGTGGCGAAATATTGAAAAAAAATATTGGAAGAAAAAACTTGAAAAATGGAACGACCTTAATATAAGCAGACTAACAAAGGTCTTTCCCTTGGAAAGGTGAGAAGATCTAATAATCAGTAATAATATCAATAGAAAGACCTACATAAAACAGATATACTGAAGTAAATGCGATTTCTAGCTATAGAACAAGGTGAAAGCGACAATTTCCTTCGGAAATGAATGTTCCAAATCAGGAATATGATAGTTGTTTTCTAGTCTTTTCGTTGGTTGTTCATGTTAATATAGTCAAGCTTTTGATTTTGAAAGCCTCTTTGAACTTACCTTGGAGTTCTTCTGTTGTTTTTTTTTTTTTTTTGTTTTTTTTTTTTTATTACATTCTTGCTTTCATATTCTTGATTATCCTTTCACCATGAACGCGTATACCTTGTTTCAGTCGACAGGTCAAAGAAGCATTTATTATACTTCTGGTAAAAAAACATTAAAGATGTGGTTTTAAGCCTAACAATAATCATAAAAGTTTGCCCTATTAACATATTTATATCTTTTTGATTTATACATATGGCACGTTCTTCGCACAACTTGCTTACAATAAATCGCAATCTTATATATATATATCAATCTCTTGGATCTTTTTTCTGTATAATGATATAGTATAATTTGTGTTATTCTGATATATTTTAATTATCTGTGCTAGTAATCCTCGGACACTTTCGCAACCATTATCTTCCTCATCGGCATGCGTATTACTGAATGTGACTTTCTAGTATAGTGCCTATACTTGACTTTCTGAGGTAGATGAATCCGTCGTTAAAATGATCAAATTGACGTGTTATGCCATAAAAAGGCAGATCGGTCATATTTTGACTTCATCTATTCACTGCTTTTATTTGGATTAAATTGGACTGATAACAGCTTAATGAGACTGAAAATGATACCTTTGTTAAGACACACAAGCTTTTCACCTTACGTAGAAGTACGTAAATTATATTTCAATGTTTTTCTTCAAAATGATATATTTTTCAAAAAATTAAAACGCATGATCTGTACAGTTTCCCAAATTTCTAAACAACGCACTATTTCATTATTGTAAAAATTCACTGTATTTGGAAAATTCCAAAATCAAACCTGTCATACCTTTTGTTTCATTCATATAAATATAATGAACTCGTCCATTGTACAGTTTGATGGTCGATTGAAGCACATGTTTGTGTAAAAAGATATGCAACTTAATCTGTTTTCAGATAAACATAATATGATTATACTTTAAATGCATTCAGATTAGAAACATCCAGCAATGTTAGATTAGAAATTATTAAGTGTGGGGGTCTGGATGGTGATCTTCATTTCTATATTCTTTAATTTTAAGTCATATTTCTCTATTCTTCACAACTGTTGTCCATAATTCTCAAGACTGACTGTAACATATCCAGACTCTCTTGTCAAAGAACATTGGTTTAATTGTATTTATCAAAACAAAATAATTAAAATTCGACTTGACCGTTTAGTATAATATTAGGACAGAAAACTAAAGACAAACCATAACTATAATTGTTAATCCACAAACAAGAGTATTTTTATAATTTCTTATAAAAAATGTTACTTCGGATCTAGAGTTGTCATCCTTGTCTTCATAAACAATAATTATTGTTGCGTAATAAAATTTCGCATGCTTACAAAACACACAAAGAACAAATTTAACAGGTAATCAGATAAAGGTGAAGCAATACTAACTTCATCCAATTGAATTGCGTAAGATGTAATAACAATCACCAGTTTATATCAAATTAAGTGTTAGGGGTATATTTGGTAGGGAGAATATGAGAGATTTTTTAATACAATTTCTTGTTAATATTATAAAACACTCATCACTCAATTTTTTTGTTAGAAGTTCAAAAACCTATATGTCAGTATTGGTATCGTGTTTCGATCTCTCATTAAAGTATTTAAAGCAATAGAAAGTTTGGGCTTCAAAAGTCAACACAATTATTGACTTTATACAGAAAATCAACCATCTTAAAGCGTTTATTTATTAACATATAATACATGGATATATAGCAAAATCATTTTTGAAAATACTGCAAAAACATTAATTCTGATTTATTCAGTGGTATTGTCATGAAGTGCGTTTAAGTTAACCATGGTACATGTGTAACAAACATCTAATTCGCTCACGAAATCTTATCACACACTCTAGTAATTGTAACTGTATCATAGTTATTTTTTTAACTTTCAATAAACAAACTATACGTGTACTAAACGTTATCATTTGATAATTTGATATCCTGTATGTACATGTCGACATAGTGGTTTTGTACAGGGAAACATTTTAACGTTACACATATACCAAAGGTACAGGCAAAAGTATAAAATTCGATTTTAAATACAAGCTAAGGTAAGGCGGTTGTAATGGTTTCACATTAGTTGTATTATTGCCTGAACTTTCGTATTTATCGTGGTTATAAGAAACTGATTAGTATATATTGATGATATATACACAGTCATACAGGTAAAGATAAAATATACCAGACATTTGAATGCGAGGCTGAGTTATCTTGTGTGAAATTCTCCCATTGTTTTACCTGAATCAAATTGATTTATATCAATACACTTATTTGACATGACATAAAGATCTGAATAAACAATTAGTCGTCCAAATCTTAGTCTTCTAGACTTCAAACCACACTACATGATTGAATTTAACTCTATCTTATATTGTGCTACTTATTCGTTTTCAACTTTGAAAATTATGGAATAACGTTAACCTTTATTGTTTCAACTTTTTGTTTTTGCAGTTTTTTTTTCCAGGTTGGTTAATTAAACCAACGTGAGGTATGAAGTTAGCGTTTGGAAATACAATAAGATAAATACATGCACAGAAAATATTTTAATCTCAACCACAAAACACAATAATTTATAGTCTATTTTAGCTTTTATAATTTAAATAATTGAAACGTCATTTGAATTCAATGTTTCACATGTGAACTAATCGTTGAAAGATGGGATATTATAAGCACCCTTATACGAGTGTTTGCTGATTGGAAAATATCTATACTGCAATCACAAAATTAAGACGTTTTATCTGCGAATTAAATTACACATTATTACCAAACATCGGTAGTGACATTCCTTTGTTAAGATTTATTATTCAAAATGTTCCACGTTTAAATTTCGCAGTTTTAAGTTAACATTTCTAAGTTTCCACTTGACATTTCTGAGTTCCAACTTGACATTTCTCACTGCCAATTGGGTATATATCACTTCAAAATTGCAACTCAGAATGTCAAATTGATAGTGGGAAATGTCAGAATAGAAATGAAAAATTATAAAAAAACTAGAATATCTTTACATGTCTTTTATATATTTCTCAAGCACAGCTGGATTCTGTTCTACTGTTTAGTCTTTTCCGATTTGTAGTAATGTGTTAAGTGCATATGAAGTGTAAGTTGATTGAAATAAATTGAAAGTATGCATTGATTGCAATATGAGCTAATTGCTGCATACTTAAATTAAATTTGTTCACAAAAAAATATTTAGTGGAGATGAAAAGTAAGATATGGGTTAAATGATACAGACATACAACTTATCAGTTATTAAAATCATTAAAAATGACTGAAAATAGTTGATTTTGAAACAGGCATTACAAATCATGATCTTTCATATAGTAGTAAAGTAGTAAGTCATATAGATTAATAGTATTTGACTAGGGGCCTTGTTTGTCAATTGGTCTAAGTAGTCAATCTCTTGTATCACTAATGTCAACACTAAGGATTTGAGTTCGACTCCAATCTTAATTGACTATGATTTTCAGTTTTCCTTCTGAAGGTCGGCAGTTCTCTTCGGGCACTCCGATTTCCTCCACCAATGAAAACTTACCGCCGACAAAAAAGCACAATAGTGCTGAAAGTGGCGTTTAACAATCAATCAATCCATCAGTACATGACCCATCAAATGTGTTTTAATTGTAAGACCAATTACGAGTACTGATATTTTTATTCTCCGTTATGACCAGTGTTTCTATCTTTTAAAGAAATTTCATTAAATATAGCGATAGTCAGTCACATTTAGAGTACTTTTTGTGTAATGATAGCTACATGTAGAAAGCAGCAGTTGAACAGCATGTACATGTAGTGTTAAGATTGTTAATGACATGAGCTGAAATATCTGAATACTGTAAATTCAGAATTTACTGCCTGCATTTTTATTGCGATTTCGCTATGACAGACAAGATTGTAAGAACCGTTATGGCGATTACAGGAAAAGCTGCGTAAAAGTATATATGTCAGATTTCCGATTGTGAGAGATATCTTATTATTGCGATAATTACCCAGTCACATTATTCACAGTAATAAAAACGTCGCAATAATTTCTGAATTTTCAGTAGTAGAAATTGTGAAAATGTCCAAAATCTTTTATAGACTGGATAATTTGTATACATTAAAAAAACAAAGAAACATGGTTAATACAAATGAAATAAAGTACATACACACTAAACTTAATTCTGAATTATTTGTTATGAAGGATGTGTTGGGGCTGGGGGTTAACACAGATAATGTGTAATCTAGTTAAAGGAATTTTGAAATTTCTGGTATACATTGTTTGTTTTAGAGAGTAAATCATTGAAAATGCCAGCTGTAGCATTGGCCATGATGTTGGTTCTATCAGTCACTATCTGCCATGGAAAAACCTCGGTGACATGTATGTTTATTAATGTTTTCTTCTTTCTGATTATTTGTAGTGATTTTCATTTTCAACTCATCATGATTCAAGGGATCATCGCATCTCCTGTAAATTATGTACTGATAGTAAGATTTGACGTCAAATACATGTTGCTACCTGTGTAGTGTTTATTAAGTAAAATTTTAACTGGACGGGATGTATAAATAAATGAACATTGATTCAACACCAAATTAAATTCGTTTATGTCATTTGGTTCTAAGATCCGATAAAAATATGACATAAAGTTAAAGCTAAATGTTCTATAATTTTTCATTGTCTAATCAAAAGTATACCTTTCTAGTTGAATATTAACTTTTTATATTTTATTAGATTTATTTCCAACTGATTCATGTGTCTCTGATCCATATCTTGTTGACGAAAATACCATAGCTTACATGAAGTTTGAAGGTGATTTCGGCAGCCCGGAATGTAGAAAAATGTCGTTCACAACTCCAAAATCTGCTTTCTATTCATATACAATGTGCATGAAAGAACTTATTTACAGTAGCCAAAATTGTCATAGTACAATTTACTTCAAAAGGTGTTGTTCTGAATACATCAACTATGATTATAATGCTCAGGTAATATATATAGTATTGTACAGGTATAAAGCAAACGTATAGAAAATGTAGGAAAATAGTAACAATCAAATAAATAACACTACCCAAAAATTAAACCAATTAAAATTTCTGCAACATCAGATTTATAGATCTTGCTCATTATTCATAGAAGTCTTAATATCATTTGTTGCTGATTTTGCACTTAAATGTGTAACGTCACAGTACCCAAATTACACCGAGTACTCAATTTGCTAAAAGGTAACAGAAATTTTACAGGTTTTTCAAAGTGACTAAACAATTTGTATTTTTATTATTGGTCATTAGGCAGGTCTTCCAACGTAACTTAATATACTTGAAGATACAAAAACGGTGATAGTATATATCAATAAGTGAAGTATCTAGTGAAAAAAGTAAAATTTACAGATTTGTCACATGCGACGTTCACGAAAAGTTGACTTTTGAAAATGAGCAAATAAAATTTGACACAGACATCCATTTCTGTTACAAAATGCAAAATAAGCATGGACTTTTGTCAACTTGTTCTTTAAAAAATTGTGGAGATATAAAACAGACATCAGTTATTTGATTTGTATGGATGTGAAGCTAAGCATGGTTGCAATTGAGGTAATCAGTATGACAGAATCTTGGCTCGTTTGGAGGTCGGTTCAAACCAATTTTTATATGTTTCAGTATAGACTATAAATTAAATTTGTGGAATTATACAGTAAACAAGGATAAATTTACCAAAAAACACAGAATGGAATCTGTAATCTTGGATTTTTTCTAATAAACAAAGTCGAAAAAACTGTCAAAACAGATGTAATTTAGGTTTCTCTCCGTAAAATCATTTATTTAATCTGAGAAAATTTATATGATACGAGTGGGGAAGTCCGTAAAAGTACTATAACTTAAAAATAGTATATCGATGAAAAATAATTTTGAATCTTTAAAGCAGTGTGTAATAACGTCACAAAAGTCATTTAAAATGAACGACTATAAAATTAGTTACACAGGTGTTGATATATACAGGGTCATGATATTTCATATGAAAGCGAAGCTCGAATCCCTATATGACATTTACTGACCCGTATATGTCGTATTAGGTCACTTGCACACTGTGTAACGAATTTATCTTACCAACTATCTTTCTTCAGAAATCCCTATAAAATAACAATTAAAAACTGAAAATGACAATGCGCATTTGTAACGATTTAATCAGATAACAAATAGAATTACGATTTATGGTTCACAAATACATGTATTTTAATAATTGTTGTCTACTGTAATGAGGCCTTTTTCTATTAAAAACACAGTCGGTTACCCTTTTCCTTCTTTTGAAGATATCAGGAGATGGCTGTTCAGGAAACTCATACATGTTATATGGCAATAACAGAATGTTTTCACAATGTTTAGACGATGCTAGTCATGTTTCATTTGAGCTGCAAAAATCACAAAGTGTTAAAAATGGCTATAACAGATATGACGACAGAAAACCGCAGGAAGTAATTCCAGACAAACTAAATGACACTTTTGAGTTTCAAATTGAGACGAAATGGGATTATAATTGTGAGTAATTTTATTTCTGCTATATGCATGTACTTTGATTATTTGAAAAAAAAAGAAAAAGTAAGACTATACGTCAATGATACAGCTACCCATGCACACAAATAACAACTAGAGGTCAATATAGAGTCCTTAACAGCAGAATATATTTGTTTTAAATGTCATGTGTAAATAACCAATGTAAAAGACATGAATTCATACAGAAACTGTAGAAGATGTGTAATAATAATAATAATAATGAAAATAATAATAATAATAATAATAGTAATGTTAGTAAAGACTATATATGTTCTGACACTTGCATAAGTAATGGTGTCGATGGCTTTGTGTCACTACAATGTCATTAACTGTTCAGACTAAGTTCAAATATGATTTACATCTCATTTAGATGGCTTGATTGGTGGAATAACAGGTGGAATTGTTGGGATGTGTGTTCTCACAGGAGTAGGAATTTTTTGTCGCCGTAGGAAACGCAAAACAGGAAAATACTGTGGCACATGTCCCACATACAGACCCAAATACTCGAGTGAGTTTTATTATTCCCCTTGCAATCCGTAATAATAGATTTCGAATATGAACACCTGCTCACCTAGATATTTGTCGTATGAAAATTGGACTTGTATCGAATGTTTATTGACCCTCTTGTATACCATATTCAATTGTTTACTGTTTAATTTTTTTTTATCCTGAATAAGATAAAAATGACTGCCAGCGATTGTCAAACAATTTACCAATCTATCGCTCAGCTAAAAAATACACGAATGTTAGTCTTTCGGTTATTTCTTTTCAGCAAAATTTTGGAATGAATGAAAAACAATCGGAAACATATGAAAACAAAATCGAATCCATTCTGTGTAATGTTTTCAAAAGCGTAGACCAAAATAATTGCATTGGTATAAAACGTCCTAAACTTAGAAAATTCAACAAATAAAGTTGTTTTCATTTCCGTGTACGAACAATGACATTAACTGCAGTTCTTCAGATTCAGAAACGCACCCTCGGATTAGAGTGAAATTTGGTATCATGAGTGCTCTGGAATTTCTTGATATGTATACTCAAATTTTAAAACACATCTTGTATCAACCACCTAAATATAAAAAAAGGAGATGATGTTTGATTGCCTATGAGACAACCATCGAGAGGAGACTAAATGACGAGAATATAAACAACTATTTGTCACCGTAATACCTTGAACAATGAGCAAAACCTTTTCCGCATCTTAAGCATAGTTTGAAAGGCACTTGTGAGTTTTTAAAACTGGACTTTTTAAGATCCATTAGTATGCAATGGTGACTACAGTAGTTTTTAATGTGATAATGTCAGTCGTTCTTCTCGATAACTTTGATGGATTGACCTTCATTGTGAGAGTACCTGCGATAATCCTCGGCTTTTAGCTGGCGTCGTGTTTTGTTCAGTCTTTATTTTCTATGTCGTGTTTCGTATATTGTAGTTGGTCATTTGGTTGTTTTTCGTTTTTGCCATTGGTATTGTCGGTTTGGTTTCGAGTTATGAGTTTGAATGTTCATTTGGTATATTTCGCTTCACTTTTTCAAGTTCGTGTGAATACGTTCGTAAGAATATACAAAACAATGGTCATTGAATGGAAAAAGAACATTAGCCGTATAATAAGAAGTTTGTGGTTTGAAAGCAACATATATGGCATTTACAAACAAATGTTTAAATTCGATACATATGAGAAAGAAAAGATAAATAGCATGGTTGCACAGTTAGTATTTATTGTAACACAGATGTTTGTTTGTATGTAAAGATATAATATTGTCTTTGAAAACATTATGCAAAAGATCTAACACTTAATCTTTTTTTACGATATACTTGTTATTTGGATTAATGCCACTGCGTTTTTTTAAAAAGACGATATATTCGAATTTTGTCTCGATCAATTAAAATTAAAATCCAATTTTGTCAATATGACGGAACCATAAACAAATGTCATCCAAGTGGTAGGTTAAGCTAGTATCAAACCAGCTTCATGTTCATGTACCAAGTCAAGGATATAACAGCAGTTTTTCACTCCTTCCGTTGGTTGATAACGTTTGATTTTGTCAGTTTTTATTTACTTTCCTTTTTTTAATTTACCTTGGAGTTCGGTAGTTTTGTTTTACTTTTCAATAAACTTGCATCTGATCCACATGTGGCATTCGTCTTGTTGCCAAAATATGGTATATACATTTAGGATGTTGTATTGCCACATTCAACGTTTGTTGATACATTAATGAACTGTGTACGACTGCAGGATAAACAAAGGCCAGTTTTTTTACTGAACAAATCATATACCATATTCCGACAAAACATTTTGAAAATAATCTATGAAAAGTTTACAAATATTCCAGTCAATTTATATGCAAAAATCAAAATACAATATTCTTCGATGAATTGTTTCATGCAATATAAATCAATTTCAGGGTTCGTGACAGAGGGGTTAGCCCAAGGTTTCTCAGCAGAATGTGCTGTAGCTGGCATATTGTTGTGTTCTTGCGTACTATGTAGACGACAAAAATGTAACGGACAGGAAGAAGATAAATGTGAAAAAGGTATACATACCTAGAATGGTGTAAACTTCACAATAAAACGTATATATGCTGAAATGAAGTATAGTGTAAGTGGTGTTTTATGGTGACAAAAAGCTTCTTTTGACTTGTTTAGAATAGAAGCGAAAGATACGAAAGGGATTTTAAAACTCATAAGTTGAAAAAAACTGAGAACGCTATGGCAAAAAAAAAGAAAAAAATCAAACAACAGTATACAAAACAAAACATAGGAAAATAAAGACGACTGAGCAACACGAACCAAACCAAAAACCTGGGGTAATCTCAGGTGCTCCGGAAGGGTAACCAGATCCTGCTCTACATTTTTCACCCGTTTGGTTGATCATGCAAGTACCATCCTGGTGATATGTCTAATTCGGTTGGACACATTCGTTGAAAATTTGTTGCGTAACTAAGACGATTCTTGCAAACAACAGTTCACTGAAACATGTGAAGGAAAGGTAGCATATTTGATATAGAACTAACTAACATAAGTGTTCGATCAAAAGCTTTTCCCTCGAGCATCACTGAATATAAATTTATAGCAACTGGTGCATTAAAAGTAGAACCAAAACATATATTACAAAATGTCAAAAATATTTAAATGTTAAGATTTTTCTGTAATATTGTTGCACCCAACTGCTCCGGTGTCAACGTAGATATGTTCCTTCTGATCAATCAAACAGCATAAATGAAGTTGAAGAAGAGTTTATCTTCCCAAAGATGACTCAGAAAACGACGAGTTTTCATATACATATCATCTACCATAATGATTTTTCCATTTTGAATTTTCCAGTTGACTGATCCTTATCATTGTACTTACAAAACAACATAGAACACAGCCATATTTTAATAAATATATATTTTTTTCAAATAAGATCACTTAATTACTGATATATTCATATTAATGATATATGTCGAGTTATGCATTTGTTTCTTATGGTTTTTTATAGTTTCTATGGAAACTGATTGCACCTCATCTGATTCAGAGAATAAATGGGAAACCGTTTTGGGGTTAAAAGATCCTGACACAGCGCCACTTCTCCAGTGTGACAGCTAAAACAGCACATATGAAGATTCAGAAAAGAAACATGATTGCTTAAAATGAGAAAACTTCATTTATCATGTTTATATCTCCTTATTTAGTATTCTTTCCACACTGCACATAAAATTACAATTATAAATGTTTATCAATATTTTCGAAATTTTAATCATGAATTGATTAAAAATAACTGCAGTGGTGTTAACATTAATCACCATTCAGTGTGTAATTACCAAATTTGTTTAGAATATGACCAATAAAATGTTCCACATATGTATGCCACGTTACCATTCCCTTTATCTCGAACTGGACTTGATTGAATGCGACTTGAACTTACAATGATCAACACAATGGTAGCAACTTGCGTATCAGAAACTGCTGCTTTTATTATTTAGCCGATCGAATTCTACCCGCTTTTATTTGTTTTTGTTTTGTACTTTTTTGTTGACTGTTACCTGTCTTTTCGTCATTTTTCGATCGACCCTGATGTTGTCTGTTTGTAAGTGTAGTCTCAAAGAATACATTCAAAATAACAACTGAACAATACGCTTCCGATATAAAGTTCTCCGGAAGGGTAAGCAGATCCTACTCCTCACGTGACACCCATAATGTTTATCATGTTGAATACAAATTCGTTGATGAGTCTCAATCGGTGATGTTAGCATCGAGGAAAGGAGGACGGGATTATGGTAACGACAAGTTGAACTTATCTGTTGTCATCTTTGACACACATATTCCATAACAATCAACCAACTGGTACATAAAAATTCGATGGGATAAATATTACTTTACCAAGTATAACCCTTAATTCAATAGCTTTCTTGCTAGCAGCAACTCTCTGTCAAGTAAATCATGATAGGAAATTCAAGTTCTAGAGTAGGGTATCAACTGGGAGATATATACTCATCATGTAGGCGATGCTCGAAGGTTGCGACTTTGTAAATTAAAATGGAAAGTTCACAATTAGGAAAACTTAAACCTGGTTTTAAAGCTAGCTAAACCTCTCACTTGTATGACAGTCGCATAAAATTCCATTATATTGACAACAATGTGCGAACAAAACAAACAGACATAATAGGTAAAAATGTCAAAAATAGGGGTACAGCAGTTATTGTGTTATAATCTTAATCACTATAAACACAAAGAAAAATGTCAACAAAGAAAAACAAAATGGCATAAAGACAAAGCACATAAGCAAAAAATGAAAGACGGGAATAGAAAAAAATGACCAAAGCAGAATAACACAATGGTGGGATGTATAAGTACTGAGCAACACCAAATAAATATTACCAAAAATGGACTGAACAGCAAAGGTTGATAATTTACAAAGACAAATAAAAGAACACTATAACACGTAATTAAGATGATAAACAACATCAGGACCTAGAATCTATACTTCAAGACCAGCATGTAGTTTTTGTGAAGTTGATACGGAATATGTATCAACACGGTCTTGGTATCTTCCTATAAACTTTTTAAGAAAATGGCCGAGACGTTCTTTGACATAGCCCTGGTTCATCAACTTTCTGCTCAGACACTGGTAACGTTTTATAAAGACTGAGTAGCAGCTGCAAGCTCTTGAAAGCCGAATGAGTTGGAAAATATTAATATCCCATATGCAGGTGAAGTTGGTATATTACTTCTAAGGTGAGGATTATAATTACCTTACCTGTATTTTGCGAGATCTTTTGGATTATTTGGTCCTCAATGCTCTTCAACTTCGTACTTTATTTAGCCTTTTTAACTTTTTTGATTCGAACATCACTGATTAGTCATTTTGAGACGAAACACGCGTCTGGCGTATAGAATTGTAATCCTGGTATCTATGATGAGTTTATTTACTTCAATATTTTTTTCAAGTTCGAAGGAATAAATGCGTTCAATACACTAGTAGTCATGAAACATTGAATTATTTACTAAAATAACATCATCTTAATACCGGAACTTAAGGTTAACGTATAATGCTAGTTTCTTTTCATTTTTTTCCCAGAAGCTCTTGTATAAAGTATGCAAAATATGAACAAAGAATTATCATTACCGTTTATATCTTACTATGCGGTATTGGTTTTGCTCATTGCTGAAGGCCGTACGGGAACCTTTAGTTGTTAACTTCTATGTCATTTAGTCTCTGGTGGAGAGTTGTCTCATTGGAAATAATACCACATCTTCTTATTTTAAATCGGGGAATAAAAATGATATGAATCAAACGTGCAGTGAATGCTCCTTTATTTTTCGATTAACAACATGGTTGCATTGTCTTTGTGATGCTTTATGCTGAAATAATGTAAAGTTTCCGAAAAAGCCTCTTTCCAAATCTTAATTTTGGAAGATATTACTTTTCATTAACCATCATTATATTAGTGGGTATATCTGATACATAAGTCATCTATATTATTCTGATAGACGTTTGAGTAATATAGAAATAAGAAAATGGGGTATGATGGCCGATGAGACAAATATCCACCAGAGACTAATTAACATATATGTAAGAAACTATAAGTCACCGTAGTTTACCATGAAATTTTGGTCCAATCAGCTTGAAACCTAGTACACATGTTGGTTTCAATGTGAACTTCCATAATCTATGCCAAATTCAGAATTCGACCCAGATTTCACGGTTAAAGCAGGGCATGGTGTGCTATGGGCATATGTTCTTATTGCTGTCTGTCTGTATATATGTCATTTGTATATCCCCACTTATCATATGACTAAATTTGTGGTACTTTGATAATTTGCATAGCGGCCATATTGCCTTATCATGACGACAGTCATTACAATACGATTATACATTCCCCTAAATTTAGAATGCAAATTTGCAAATTCCTAAGGCGAATCAACAATTTGTCCAGAAATAAGTGAAGTGTATATGTTTGTTGCTTTCTGTTCGTGTACAAATAAACAGTGTCTATCTTGAAAACTTTCTGCCTTTTCAGTTTGAAATTCGTAAGCGTAACCGTAGTATAATTGCTATAGAAAATAACGAAAAATCGTAAAAAAGCAAGATTACAAATAGAAATAAAGATACAAGAAGAGATTGTCATGATTTGTCCGCATATAGGGAAAAACCTTGCAGGCTGAATATTTGGGTTAAATAACTTTTATCTACCTGCTTTCTTATTTTTCGGCCTAATTCTTTTTAAAACATGATGATTTCATACTTCCCATTTCGTAAATTTTTCCTAAGAATTACACAACATGTTTTTTAAATATTCGCTCAAGGAAGTTTTCAATGACACATTAGTCAAAGATCCAATATGGAATAAAACTGGATTATATATATATATATATATCCGCAAATTTGATATGATTTAAATTAAACAAAGGAAAGTAATTTATTCAAAAGAGAAAAAGTCACGTGGTGCAAATCATATGAATAAAGTACCTAGGATTTTGTCATATGTATAAGGAGGGGTATACTATTTTAACGTTGTCTGTCCATCCCTTTGTCTAATAAAATTTCCGTCGCATTTTTCTCTGGAGTCTTATAAATAAGAGCTTGTGTATCAGGCTTTAAGCTTAAATGAGCATGTTATACAGTAGGATGCTTTTGAACATTCATTGCTCCTTTAGTTTTTATGTATGTATCATTCCACAATTCTTTTTTTTTTTCAGTAACAATGAATTTTTTGTCAATTTTGAAGAAATGTTTTATTTCCTTTTATAGTATTTACTCTGTGCTAACACAATTCATTTAACTGGCAAATAAAAGAACCAAAGAAGAATAAATTAAGCCATTATTATTCTAAACGTCTGCATTCTTGCAGTCTCATGAATGGTACTATTCGTTAATTCCCCTACTGAACATGATATATCTGTTTGTAGTACTCTGAAAAGGCTGAAATAAGTGTTTTGTCTAGAAAATTTTAGCAGAGATAGGGATAATTTATGATATATTTTGCAAAAGCCAAAATGATTTGATCTGTGTTGTGCTTACAAATATTGATTTGATGTTGAAATGCAGTTGTATAATTGATCAAGTTCATTTTTCTTTATATTTGACTAATTTCTAATCGAGTCATAAATGAGACTTGTAAATATTGAAGCGATTTTTTTTTAATAACAGGTAGTTTAAAGATTAGGATTATATGTCCTTCCAAATGACGGTTTGTTATATGATAACTGCCTTTACACTTATTCATGGCATTAAACTCATCTGAATAATTCATTGTATTTCTTCACTCAGATGGAGCCTTGCTTCTTTGCATTTGTTGTATCATTAGATACATGTAAGTCAGATTTTTATTTGTGATTGATGTCTCAACATTTTTATGAAAACTTCAATTGAAAATCGTCCTGGTTGTTATTATTTTGAATAATATGAAATATTTATGATTAGCAATACATTGTTAAAAATCGTCTTTCTTTATTTGTATAACACAACTTCACATACATGTAAAAGTTGATCTCTTATTAAATTTTCAATAGTTTATTGAAGTTTTATTCAATGTTTAACATGTATCTATCATCTATAAATAATAAAATATATGTACAGGTAAAATTTAATTCTTATCAAGCTGGTACATATTTACGACCTCCACTGATATTGCACAGGTAATATCACAGCAGGTGTTAATTACACAGGGACAACTGTCCGACCAGTCTGACATCTAGACGGATTAAGGCATCCATAAAAATAAGTCGCTACCTGTACTGTATGAATATATGTGCATACTAAACCAGTGTGATTCTAGCCGTCGATAACAGCCATAAAGTAACATCTAAATTGATATGTAGCAGATGACACTAGCTAACCTTGGTGCTGTACTGGTTAATTCATACTTATCCTCCATAACAAAACTATACAAAGTAGCATCGTCATTGACATGAATTAGGTGACACTTGAATCAGGTAACACTCATTTATAACCTTGATGCTGCACTACTTAAACTACACTTATCTCCATAAAAAGTTTTTAAAATAGTTGTTTAGCAATGGATGTCTCATCGATTAACTTGTGAGCTATGCCACACATGAAAAGCGTACCATTGATAGTACATTTTGTATAAAATCGTTTTGTCGATCTTAGTTGTTGTAAATAATGTCTACACGATGTAATGTCATGTAGATGGTAGTAACATAAGAAGCTTAGGAAATATGCAAATGGTACAGGATGATAAAAAGAAGGGCGGTTTGTAAACTCTAGTTGTAATTCTTGTGGGATTATTGACGACCTATAAATCTTAAATATAACAGTTTCAACTCTTAATGTTTTTCTTTTTTCATCAGATTCAGCTCATGTTTTTGGATAAATGTGTAATCAGACCGGGGTGGTCCAGCCCATATTTTCTCATCTGTGTATTTCTGCAAGGCATAATATATTATACTTAGTGAGGCAAAGTAATTTTTATGAACATACATGAAAGAAGCCAATGTCAGCCATCCTGATACTGCATCTGATTGACAACCTATCAATAATTGGCTAAGATCATATTTGTACTTTAAATATTGCTGTTTGTTTTCTGAGCTATATAGATATTTTGAAGCATCTGGAGCAAACCAACATGCCTTTGATAAATACAAAGCGAATAAACTTCTAGATAAACCAGTTCTTGAATTATGTAGATAATGATTTAGTAGATTATAGGTATTTGCAAAACCACAGTTCATAATAAATGGTAAACAAGAATATGTTTGTTGTGCTATTCTGACATTTTCACGTGTTAAAGTTTCAGTGGTGTTGTATGGTTGACTTTGATAATCTTTCAGGGTCTCAGAAGAAGCAAAACAATTAATTCCTTGCTCATATAAATTTTTAAGTATGGTGCTCAATTTTTCTTTGTTCAAAACATTGAACCTTGAGTTGAACAAGTTATTGTCAGGAATAAAATAATGTGACAAGATGGAATATTTAACACAGTACAGCAGTCTTTGTAGACAAGCCATGAAACAAGTTATAATATTATCTGGTCGCCATATATTTGGGTCTGTTTCTTCTGAAATCCAAAACATCAATGTCTTTAAGAAATATGAACATAATAAATCTTTCAAATCTGCATGTTTCTCTACTATTTCCTTCAGCAAAATTTTTAACAAAGCATAACATAATAATTGTGAATGACTGAAGGAAAATATAAGAAACTTTTCTGCTACAGAAAACGAAATACGCCATTCCAGATTTTCATTTATGGATCCTTTGATGCCAATGGGAACAAATAACACTCCACAAGATATTATTTTTGAAATGATTTCAGGTGAAGACCACGTTGTACGTGGTCTGCTAATCCATGGCTGTACTTTAATGATCCATTTGTCACATTTAAGGCAAGCTGCTATATCAAATTCGTCATCGCTATCTGATATACATGGGCCATGAATTTTTGTCGTTTTAAACATTCCGAGAGGAGACGCTGACAAAACAAACAGTTTATATTGTTCACTTGACAGCATACATCCAAGATGGTTGTTTTGCCATATTTTTTTGAAAAATTGACCTTCGAAAGGCTGATTTAAAAGACGTAGTTGAGTAAAACATGGTTGGGTCTCCTCGGTATTCATAATTAGTGGAACTGTCCAATGATCATAAATGACTTCTTTTTCTGATTCATACACTTTCATGTAACGATCAATAAACATTGTATCCATATCACTGCCTTTCAAGTCAAGTCCTTCACCTTTACTTCCACTTGCTATTGTTCTTCTGTTTGATTTTTTTGACATGTCAGGAATACATAATACGAACCTCCTAATTCTCACAACCTCCTCAGATCCAATCTGTTGGCATAGATATTTGTAAAAATTCAACGATTCATAATTCTCTGTGGACATTCTCGCCGTTTTATGCAGTTCAGTCTACAAAATAAGTTGTCATCAATTTTATATAAAAGTAACAACTTCTTTATCTTACAATGATAGAAAAAAACTAAATGAACAGTAGTATTTACGGATGTTCGCTCCTCTTGTTTTTGAATTTTTGCCAGATATTCGGAATCCTCTGGTTTTATCCACGTAGTGCCATTAAAAATTTTGCCCACTAACCCCTACTTTTCTCTCCATAATTTGATTACATATAGTTTAAAATGTCATCTTTGAAAATCTTATAAAATCCTTGATATTGAAAGAAAAAAGGTGCCAATGTTAAATGTATGAAACATCTGGAGAGAATTATTTCCCACCAAATTTTCAATGGCTTCTATCTCGAAAACAAGCACACTGACCCTTATTTTTTTTATGCTTTTTTAGTTTCTTTATTTATATACTATCATCTTATGATAGTCTTTTAAAAAGCTTGTTATTTTGAAACAGAGTAGCGAACATTCTTAATAACTTGGTATATTTACTAGTTACGGAACTGACAAAAGAGTTCCCACACGAGCTTTGTCCTGCTAGGACCTCTTTAAACTTTGAAATTTCTGACTAACTCCTTTCCCAGAAATCATCTGTAAAGGTGGCATGACATCAGAGAGAAAGCTCGTTGCCAGTAGTCAATTTTCTACAGATAGGTTTTCCATTCACATAATTTGAATTGGGTTTATTTACATTCGTGTCCAGGTTTATATTTATAAAAATTCACAAAAACTACATGAGGATTTGGAAAGGAAGGTGTTCCTCCATTTCTGTATTCACTACTTTTTTCACCCACTTTTCTCTATTCTTTATATTTTTGGCCCATTATTCTCTATTCTAATTTTGGGTCCGTTTTTCTCTATTCTTTATTTTTGTACCCTTTATTTTGCACTTTATTCCCATTATTCTCTATTCTTTGAACTCCATCCAGACCCTACTATATGCAGTCCAGGCTTCTGTTGCTATCTAATACACGTATAACTCTTTCAGCTGTTTGTTTTCTTATATTTTCTTAAATAATTAGCTTTAAGAATAATTAAAACACAATTACTTGTTTAAGTAGTTCCCATGACTGAATATGGAGCAAAAACTCTCTGTTAAACTCTCTTTTATTTTTTTTCAAAAGTCTATCCTAATTCATGTCCAAAAATAGATGTCCAGAGACGTTCAAATGTCCCAAATTATGTATGGATGAAACTTTGATATAACCTGCAAACCAATTTTAATTTATAAATATAAATTTCGGAGATTGACATAGTTTGATGGTAATAATATTCGTGATAGATCTAGGTGAGAAAGGCATGCTTTTCAGAGCTTCATTAGTTTTATCTCCTGTCTATGATAGTATAAAATTGAGAATGGAAATGGGGAATGTGTCAAAGAGACAACAACCCGACCCAAGAGCAAAAAACAGCCGAAGGCCACCAATGGGTCGTCAACACAGCGAGAAAATCCCGCACCCGGAGTGCTAGTACTAGTACTAGTTCAGGGAAAATGGACGTCATACTTAACTCTAAAACATATAAATGAACTAAAATTAAAAAACATACAAGACTAACAAAGGCCATTATGTGCATATGTCTTTTAGTCAGTTCATTTGTCCTACCTGTAGGTTTATTTTTTGTTTTATGGTAGTTTCCCATGAAGTTGTGGTCACATCAACTTGAAACTTGATACAGATGTTCATTATAAAGTAAACTTTTTAATTATATATCAAATTAGGTTTTTGGCACATATTGTAAAGTTCACAGAACATGGAAATATGATTATGCGGGCGAGGCATGGTATCCTATGAACAAAGAGTTTTCTTCTCTTTGGTCGGGTTGTTGTCTCTTTGACACATTCCCCATTTCCATTCTCAATCTTAAATATTCTCGTTTCCATCAAGAAAGATGAACGGAAGGATTTTAATTTTTTTTTTAAATATCTGTGGAAAGGTTAAACCAACAAAATTTAAAATGAAATTAGTTATAATTTCTAAACTTTTTACCTTTTAGTGTTCGTTAGTTTTTGTTTTCGATCTTTATAATGTCATTGAACTTTAGACAACTTCTCTGTGTGAATGGTTTGAAAGTAAATGACTGAATGATATATATGCGACTTTATATAGTATTGTATGAGGGTCTGAATGAGTTGTCCATCATTTCTATATTCTTTAATGTTGGTGGCATTTTTCTTTATCTTTAAAAATTACGCTTATTCTGTAATATGTCATAACAATTATTTTTCTATAAATTTATCTGTTATTATAGGATTTCTTTATTCTGAACATCGTTGATTTCAGTAATCAATATTGCATTACCTAATTCAGTAATTGTCTGGCCATTATATTCTCTACTATATTAAACCCCATCCAGACCCTCGTGTATTTCCTTTTGGGATGAAGAGAATAAGTGTTACTAAGTGTTTGAAACAACAATGTAAAGTTTGAAGTAGATGAAAACTTTCAAACTGAAACCAAAAATATGGGATTTTTAATTTTGTTTATCAGTATTAGGAAAACAATGAAGAACAGGGAAACTTTTATCGCTTGATAAGGAAATAAAGAACGTTTGTTAATTTCCAGCATATACTTTCTAATGACTATCTCAATTTCCCTGAAAAGACATTGTTACTTAATATGAATTAATAATTATACACAGAAATTTTCACTAATCTTTCTTTGAAATCATCGTTATTATTTTTTTTTAGATAACTGGACATTAATTACAACATGTTTGTACTATACTATGTGGGTGGATTTCAAATCAGAGTTCAGTTTCATTTTGATTAAATTCAATAAAGTAAAATTTTACATGTAGGATATTTTTCTGATGTACAGCTATTTATCTAAAAATATTTAACTAGACGACTGACCTTTTAAGGATCTTTCCAATAAACAAAACAAAAAATGTTTATTAATTCTGCAAAGAATATGTTGATGGTCTTTGGTATTTAACATAACAAAATGTTACTTATAAAACGATCATGTCAAGTTAGCTCCCAGTATATTCTTCTTCTTCTTCTTCTTTTTCTTGATGTGCTAGTTCAAAATGTATCTATCGACAGGACGACACGTCACACTACCAGGACACATAATTCTGACTACGGGTCGACCAGTCTCTGCTTTTACTCCTAAATGCCTATAAATGCTTTTTGTGGAGAGGAAGGGAATGTCAATTTTGTATCTTTGGTTTGACCTGGCACTTTAAGGGAATACCACAGAGGCGACATAACATGAAGAGTGATATGGTCCAGCTGATTATTAAGGTAACTTGGCCTTCTTGGTGCAAGTCTTCAAATATTATAACTGTTTTAAATCCTTGTGATGAAGACACTTTGCCATATAAATGTCACCGGGGGAAAATAGTGACTTATAGGATTCTGTAACAATTAGAGCCTGATTGAAAGGGGTCTTGTTAATGAGACTGTGTGATGCGCCTGATCACGCAACGAACGAATACTCTAAATGACAATGGCAACTCTGTGTCTGAAACTCTGGTGCAAACTTAAATTCGAGACTCTGGAACACGCAATGAATAATTCAATAATTCAGCATTGGATGGACTGTGTTCAGTGTAATGTCCTCAGTCCAATCTCATTCATCAAAATTATAAACAAGTATTTACACACAATTGAATTGACAAGAAAAAACATTACAAATGACAATTGATTTGAGTGATATTGTTCACTGACAAAGATTATACTATTTTTAGAATTTTTAAAGATGAATGTGAATTGATAATCTGAGTATGATAATTAAGAACATACAATTATGAATACTTAAGGTAATTGTTGCCTATATTTAGTGACCATTTGCCTAATTCATAACTGTTCATCCGTAACAAAAGTATTCCATGCTGAATTATTGAATTATTCATCAATAGAGAGAAATATTTAATTATCAAAAATTACCAGAACAACAAGATCTACAAATTAGTTAACATAACAGCAATTGTCAAGATAGGAAGTTACCATCTTTGAATGATGATTTTTACTCTGTTTTCGCACTTTTTCGTGGAAACTATATAAGATAGAGAGAATCTTTCGAGACTAAAAATGTTCGTCAAAATATATGATCTGCAATAAGTAAAAATATGGAGGAAATCATCAGTTGACCCCTTATATGAGTGTTTGCCTTGAAAGATGTTTTATACGCTTTTGTGTATTTTGCATAAACTATTATAATAGAAAGACAGAAATTGTGAAAAACAAAAATATTCAGCAAGATAAGATCTACCAATAAATCGACATGGTTGAAATTGTCAATTGAACCCTTATAGGAGTTATAGATCTTGACAAAAGATTTTTCCGATTTTTGCAGAAACCATAATAGATAAAAAGAAACTGAAAAATGTTCAGCAAAATAAGATCTAACGTTAGGGCAACACGGCTGAAATCCTTAATTGACCACTTTAAAGAGTTATTGTCCTAAAAAATGTTTTTTACCCAGTTTTCAATGGGAGCCGCTTGTTTATGTCTATGACTATCAAGGTACGTAGCTTGTTGTCCTGTAAATAATTGTTATAATGCATTAAAAAATGAAATCAGGGTTTGGAACTCTTAACCAGATGTATGGACATTTTATGATAGATAAAAGGTGGAAGATATACCAAGGGGTCAGGAAAAATTGTAACTAGAAGCTCTTAAAACATCCAGCTTTGCCAGAACTTATGACAAAAATAACAAATGCAATCGTTTTCCAACTAAATATTGTGAAAGAGAGAAATAATTTACCTGTTTCATATCTTCTTTAATGGTTTTGTCTGTTAAGTGGGAGACGTGTAATTATAGCCCATGCCTTTAATCTGCTGAATGTAAAAAAAAATAATGCAAGCTAATCTGAAACTGTCATTTTGACCCCAGTTGCGGTTCAAGGCTGAGGCTTAAACATTTTGAACTATAGGAATGAAGTATGGCTATTTTAACTGTTTATCAAACCCAAGTATTGAACCAGATACAAATATATGGTTACCTGGACTTATCTATTTAAGCAGGAAAACCTTATTGCGATGGCATCTATTTGTGTTATTTCGGGATATCAGATTTAAGAATTTAATAGTACGACTATTTATTTTTTAAATCTTTGTAGGCCTATATGCGTATAAATAGACATTTTCGAAACGTCGTCTACACTGGCACTTACACTGACACCGATATACCTACACTCACTGACTACAAAAATATAGAAACCGTATCAACATGTCGAAAAATACTGATGGAATAAAAGACCTCGTAAAACTAGGTTGCAGATAATCAAAAATACATTCTGTATTTTTTCTTCAATATTTTTTTATTCGGAATTGGAGCTAGAAACTCCGAATGCTCTCATTTGTTTTGGAATATTTCAAGTAATGAATTTGTGATATTCCATGCCATCTGTTTTTTAATTGTCTCCGTTTACAACCATTCAAACGGAATACAGTGTTGCGGTAGAATTGAATTGCGAGAAAGAATTCGGAACATAAATAAAGTTTTTTTATTTCTTATGAAGGAAGCGTATCTTAGGATTTGTAATGGACGTTTCGGTGACTCAAGTATAGATAAAAATGGTTGTAGTGTAAAATTCCACAAAAGATAAAATGCCAAAATTAAAGCCAAAATAAAACAAAAACTTTTTTTACCGAAATTCCCAACTACATGTATATCATCTATATATTTATAGGTTTTGTTTCACGCTATAAAGACTTTACACGTTTCCTGTTTCTGATTAAAGTTCTACTTATTTACACAAAACCCCCCTTTTTACAATATCAAGATCAGTCAATTCTCGGCTACTAAACAGAGCTAATAAGTAGAACATCATTCAAAATAAACGTTTTATACAGCATTTAAAACGTAAATTAGAAAAAAATAATATATAAATGCATGTGGTCGTAGTACATATTGAGATGCTCCCTTCTCAAAAAGGTTAGGGGTAAGAGTTGGTATCGGATAGTGTTCGAAAATGTCTACTGAATACGCAGCAATCGATATGCTGTGCCAACTTTGATTGTTCCAATTGTCGTAACTACAATCCCGTCCCCTTTTCCCCCGAATGTGACCTACAGAATTAGACTTCTAACCGGGTTTGTACTAACATAAGCAACACGACGGGTGCCACATGATTTGAATACAATGTGTAATATATTTGCTTTATAATAATACAATCCATATATAATCTATAACTAATTTATTAACAAGTACATCGTTTGATGGTAAGACTACAGAATGGCAATATGTGTATGAGAACTTCATTTGAACTCTTAAGTTATGTTTATTTAAGAACGTGCAGACATGGGAAAGTTGCTGATGTGTCAATTATAATTACTGTAACAGATGATACGATAATAAAGCGCAGTGAACTTTGTAACACAATATATAGAGTAATCATAATTATTCTTTGTGAAAATGTTACCAGTATTTTTTTTTTAAACGTGTGGTGTCATGACGGTATTACGGATCTATACGTTTCTTTTCCGTGGACAGTTCTACTTAATACTATTTTTGTTGGTTCCCTGTTGGGATAGTGTAGGTAAGCTGCAAGTATAAATTCTCTAGCAACAAAAACCAGGTTAAGACGCTACAGCGGCACCTTTCAACACATCATATTGGAGAAAACTCAGGTATATTTGGTATTTGAATGTAATTTTTCACAGGAAATACTCTTTCTTTTCTACATTAATAGTTGAAGAAGATGTTTATTTTTAATGCGATAAAAATGACACCGGCAACGAAGGCCGAAGCGAGCTGTTATTGTTTGTAAACAAATATTGCGCAACTACCTGGTCAAAATTTAGGTTCGTATTGAATATACCAATTACCATTAATTGACCCAAACAGAAACATCCTTCTTGAGAAAGAAAAGAACAAATTCTAGAGAGTATTTTGTAAAGACAATCATCTAAAAGTAATAGATTTTAATACTATTTTTTATATGGAAATATGAATGGATATTAAGTGGAATCCCCTGTATCAGCAAGGCCAGTGATATCGTGCATTACCTGATTTCGTCATATCCACAATGTAACACTAATAGAACCGTTCTTGTAATTGTTGTATATCTTTCAAAGGGACAGAAAAGGTGAAAATTTATCAATTCAAGCATATTTATAATTGCAATCCCATGATTATAACCATATGTTTATAATTAGCCCTTTTCCACCAAAAAATTTACATCATCAGATAAAATTGGTTCATTTTAAGTCAAATTTTATCGAAAGGAAATAAATTTTGCTCTGCATCCTTAATTGGCAGTAATATTGGTTCAAACATAACTATTTTTCATACACATGATACATGTCGTAGTACAATACATGTATGTATAAAATCTTTGCTTTATTCAAAATTATACCTTTTTAGAAGGCATGTGGGAAATCTCTGGACATTTGAAGAACAGGGGTTTCATTAACTTTGAACACGCATTACAAAAAATCTTAAGGGTGAAACCATACATAAAGAAGATTTCATGAAATAGCACAATAGTGCTGAAAGTAGCATTAAACACCAATCAATCAATCAGTGTTGTAGTTATTATTGGGATAAGTTCTACAGCTTACATATATTTCGTCATTTCCACTAGTCCATGGTCATGAAAGTGGGATTAGGGGGAAATTTCTAGATTGTCCCCTTTGCTCACCCTTTGGACAGAACCTTTTATTCTTTTTCTTTCTTCATAAGAAATTGGACAAACATTACATGTACTTTTAAAAATTGAAATAAACTATTTTTTTTTTTTTTACAAATTTTTATATTGACTTTGGGAGCAAAATTTCTTGTGACGACTGGACAGTGATGAGTAGGTAGTATAGGGTAAAATCCACCGAAGCTGTAGATATATGAGGGTCTGGTTGAATTGGGTTTTACAGAAAAGAGAATAATTGGCAAAAATAGTAGACTCAAGGGCAAACTAAACGAAGAAGACAAAAAAAAAAGCCACCCCAAAAAAATTGAATTTTTGAAAAATCGGGTTCTAAAATATAAAGTACAGAAAATAATATACTGTGGATTCATTTATTTTCGTGGGTATTGATTTTCCTGGATATTTGATTTCATGCTTTTGCAAAAGTGTGCGCACAAGCCTATTATAGAACTAGAAGATTTGTATGTTGTTGAACATTTAAATTCGTTGTTCACCCTTACCCACGAAATCCAAGAAAATTGGTATCCCACGAATAATACTGAATCCACAGTATACAAAATACATAGGGAATAGAGAAAACATGTCAAAATATAAAAAAATAAAGAAATAAAGGACCCCTTATTTATACCCTCATATACAATGTATTAAAACGTGAGGCTTATTTTGCTTATGCCAGGAGAGTTTGATGCTCTTTGCACAATTTGTATATTAAAGATCTCGCAATTTGAAAAGACTTGTTGAACTTAAAGGACTGATTTAATGGGAGCCAATGTAAGGTAGAATTTGACCACTATCTAACATACTTTATTATCTTTTGTGCTACATTTGCTGACACCTCAATCTGGTGTATCCACTTTGTATATTATTACGCAGACAACACTCAACCATATTTTGCCTTTTTTTTTAAATTCAATTTTCTATGACAGGCACAATATTTAAAATATGGGTAGTGGTTCATCAAAGAAAAATAAAGAAACAGCTACCAAGTCTACTAGTAATAATACATCGGAAAATGCAAAATCTGAAACAGCAGTAAAAAACCTTGAAAGTAATAGTACAGAAGAAAAAAAAGAAAAAAAAATATTGGCGGAGAAACCAGATGCAATGCAAAATAAGACAGCTATGTCAAAAAAAACAAAATCTGCTGAAGCAAGCAACCAAAGGAAAATAACAAATGATGATCATATGAGCTGGATGGAAACTGATTTGTCCGAGCTTATGGGTGGATTAGAATTAAGCGACGACCCTTGTGTTTGGGAACAATACGTGGATGATTTGATATGTAAAAGGGAACCAGAAATTAGCCCAGAGAAAGAGGTATGGAGTATTTTCTGTCAGATGATGATTTCTATACATACACATGTATGCATCATGTACATGTTATATTTGACATAACTTTTGAAATATAAAAAAAATCTTGAAGACTTATCTTATTTTCTACTGTATTATTCATGGCAGCCTCAGATCTAGTATCTAAGATTAGAGGGACTCCACCCTAATAATTGTACATTTTTATTATGACATTTTTTGGTAACTTCAAGTGCAGAGTGTGTCTGTATATATAAATATAAGAAGATCATGATGTTTTATGATTGCCAATGAGACAACTGTCCACCAGAAACCAAATGACTATAGGTCACTGTACAGCTTTAACAATGAGCAAAACCCATACTGCATAGTCAGCTGCAATAACATAAACGGTACAAATTTTTCTGCACCAGATGCGCATTTAGACAATCAATGTCTCTTCAGTGATGCTCGAGGTCAAAATATTTGAAAATCCAAAGCTTATTAAAAAGATGAAGAGCTATAAGCCAAAAAGGACAAAAAAGTATAGCCAAAGCCGGGCAGGGAATCAGAGCTTTGCATGAGGGAGATACATTCCTTAATTTTAAATAATTTAAAACATTTTGTAACAGGAAATTTCAATAACACTAAATCCGTATTTTCATGCCAGTACCGAAGTACTGGCTACTGGGCTGGTGATACCCTCGGGGACTATCAGTCCACCAGCAGAGGCATCGACCCAGGGGTAGTAATAACATAAACGGTACCAATTTTTCTGCACCAGATGCGCATTTCGACAATCAATGTCTCTTTAGTGATGCTCGAGGTCAAAATATTTGAAAATCCAAAGTTTATTAAAAAGATGAAGAGCTATAAGCCAAAAAGGACAAAAAAGTATAGCCAAAGCCGGGCAGGGAATCAGAGCTTTGCATGAGGGAGATACATTCCTTAATTTTAAATAATTTCAAACATTTTGTAACAAAAGGCCCGGAAATGACAAATGTAAAATAATTCAAACAAGAAAACTATTGGTCTAGAATCTGATTTATGTACAAAACAAAATGAAAGAAAAACAAATATGATATGCAGCAACAAACAACACCCAGTTACTCACTTCGACTGAATTACAGGCTCAAACATGTTTGAAGGCACCAACCCTCATGGATATTGTACATGTAAATGTATTTTCAGGAGCAAAGGAAAATATACTGGATTTTTTAATTTTTTTTTTTGCAGTTACATGTATATGATAATCATAAAATATGCTTAATTTCTAAATTTAAATCTATTATATTTTTTTTCAGAGGAGAGGTTGGAAGACCATTAGACTTTTTGTTAGTAGCACTTTTAAGGACATGAACAATGAGCGTGACTATCTTGTTAAGGTCATCTTTCCCCAGCTCAGAGAATGGTGCGAGGAACGGAAATTGAGACTGGTGGAGTGTGATTTAAGATGGGGAGTACCAAAAGATGCTGACACTCGGGAAACATTGACAACATGTTTATCTGAACTAGACAGGTAATAATCAGATTTCTTTGTAGGTATTTACTTGGGTGAGTCCTAAGTCAATATATCAAAATTTGATGAGTCCCACCATTTAATTGATACTGTTTTATTGAATCCTATCCAAAATGGTGAGTCCATGGCCAGATTGAAGATATCTTATGTTATAAAGTTTCCATCTGTGATATATCCATTGTCCTTGACCTCATTTTCATGGTTCCGCAACTGCTTGAAAAATTGTCATTTGAAATACTCACTTTTAATGAGTTTTATAGGATAACTATATTTGATATTTTGAATCTTTGCAAGATCTACTGTATTTGTCTGTCATACAGGGTTCACCTGACCTTGACCTCATTTAATGGATCAGTGATCAAGTTTAACTAGTTCTTGTGACCAAGTCTGTATTTAGAGGCTATATGCAATAGATCAATTTGTTTGGTGTATGAAATGATTGTAATGTGTACATGTCCAATTAACAGATTTCATCTGACCATGACCTCATTTTCATTGTTAGGTTTTGGTGGATTGGTCTGTTTTTCAGATACTATAAGCAATTAGATCAGCTGAATTTGGTGTATGGCATGATTGTACGATGTACATGTCAGACTGGCAGTTTGGTGTTCTCCCCAGACATTTCATTTAGCATCCTGGTAAACAGGGAAATTTGAAATACCATCTTGTTTCTAAAAATTATAGCATCACATCCATAACACAATCTATAGGAAAACCAATTCAGATAGTATCACATTCAAGAAATATAGCATTACATTACCATGATGCTAAAAGGCCCTTAGGAGAACACTAGGCACGTTTCATCTGACCATGACCTCATTTTCATGGTTCAGTGGCTTATGTTAGTTTTTGGTTAGGTCTTATTTTTGCAATAAGGATACTATTTTTAGTGCATGCAATGATTGTAAGGTGAACATGTCTGTTTGTCAAGTTTCATATGACCTTTTTTATACCTAAAATCAAATCGAACGGATTAGTTGTAAAATCAATCGTTAACAGATATAAGAAGATGTGGTATGAGTGCCAATGAGACAACTCTCCATCCAAGTTACAATTTATAAAAGTAAACCATTATAGGTCAAGGTACGGCTTTCAACACGGAGCATTGGCTCACACAGAACAGCAAGCTATAAAGGGCCCCAAAAAATTACTAGTGTAAAACCATTCAAATGGAAAAACCAACGGTCTAATCTATATAAAAACGAGAAACGAGAAACACATATGAACTACATAAACAGACAACTACTGTAATCAGATTCCTGACTTAGGACAGGTGCAAACATTTGCAGCGGGATTAAACGTTCTTTATTAGTTGTGGTGTAAATTTTGTCATAGAAATATAAATGTCTTCAACTACATATGCATTTTGTTTCTCTTAGTTTTACAGGACAGCCAAAATATTTTACAAACCATAAAATGGAACGTAAAGTCCTGATAAAATGGGTAGGGGGCATTAATTAAATTTAGAAAGGCGATGAGAATACATATGAAAATAAGATGATTTGTTATGATTGCCAATGAGACAACTCTCCACCAGAGACAAAATGACACAGAAGTTAACTATAGATCTCTGTACAGCCTTCAACAATGAGCAAAATGTATATTTGAAAAACTTTTGATTGCATTTTAACAGTTCTAAAAATCCAGAGAAAAGAAAAGATCACAAGCTGTTGCCAGACTTAAAGGAGGATAGACATGGGTTCTTTAAATCTGTAATGTGGATGTAACACTCAGTTGCATCATTGCATATAACATGTATAAGCAATCATGTATAACAGACCCTTGCCTAGAAGCTTAGAAGATATTGTTGAAAATGGTTGACCCAAATTAAATATAACAGAGCTTCATAGAGTTATGTCTCTTTTTCTAGTTTTGTCTCCATAACAATACATTTTTATTATTTTTTTTAGATGTCGAGAAGAGAACATTTATCCCTATTTTCTAAGTTTAGTATCTGAAAGATTTGGTTGGGTGCCAAAAATAGAAGAAATTCCAGTTGATATCAGGGCAAGGTAAGGCGACTTCTCTCAAGAAATTCCAGATGACATCAGGGCAAGGAAAGACAACTTCTATCTTTTATTCAGGCTGATATTGGAGTCTCCAGATTATAACTATGGCAATATTGAAAAGGCCATGTATTAATTGTATGAATTTTTCAATATATAATATACAGGCCTAGGGTTTCCCCTGAGCCTGAATCAAAAGTTGTTTTCGCAACCTTTTTGCCACTTTCAATTTTTTTTTCGTCAATTTACTTTCCAAACAAACTAAATTTTAATTTGCAGTGCTGTAGTCTCATGTATATTTATCTGGAATCTTACATAACCTGTTATATAAAGTCTCAGTGTTCATTAAGGCTACCCTTCAAAAATTCTTTCTTTGTAGTTGCCTACCCATGCCTTGTATGCATGGTTGGATGGATTGGTAGATAGGGATTTTATTTTATTTTTTTTTTGGCCAACAGCATAAGTTCTATGTTTTAGACAAGAAAACTTCATTAGAGCAGGAAAAATCTTTAAAAATTTTATTTTAAAGGATATGTGTCGTAATTTTTTTTGGGTAGGCTGCCTTTTAGGTGGGTAGATAGACAACATCAAACAATTTAAATTTTGTTTTTGGCCAATCCCACATCTCTTTTTCATAATCAACATTGACAGTCATTCCATGTGTAAACTATACATAAAAATTATCTTGGCTAGTGTTGAAAATTTCAATATACCTTTAATTGCATATAATATCATATATAAGATCACACATGTTCCTGGAAGTTTGATATTACAAAAACAGGTACTTGTAGTCTTAATATCAGGCAAAATATGCATTCCCATGTTAATTTCATATCATTTTGTATTATTCAAAATAAAATTTCAACAAGGGATATACAGTAATTGAAAGTCCTTGAGCTTTCATTTGATACCAAAATTACCCAAATATTTTCCTTATCTAAAAGTGACAGCTATGCGTCGGAACAATTTTTTTTAAAAATTTGCTACCTTCTTGCATGTTCTTTCTAAAACCAGGTTTTAATCATAGGTTCTATAATACCATTTATGCTGGTTTAATGCCTGAATTTTGCTGGTACATAACTTCTTTGAATTCATTAATATCTGTGAGAAACATGTTTTGTGGATTTCATAGATTTCTTAGGAGGTTAATAAAAAATTTAAATGTTCAACAAAACACAAATTTTCTATAGGCTTATAATATTGCAGACTTTTGGAAAATTGTGGAATCAAAAATCCAGGAAATTACAATTTTCCCTCAAACGATGAAAATTTGTAATCACGAAAAATTAATGAATCCACACTGACAGTAATTAAATTATTCTTTCCAGATACAAATGGATGCCTGGGATGTCTGTAACCACATCGGAGATTATGGTTGGTGGATATTGGGGACAAAATAGAAATGTAAGTTAAAGAAATGGTAGGGTTGTACATTTTGTATTATCTATATTGTCCAAACAATTGACAAAATCAGTTTCATTCAAGACGTTAACTGCCACAAAGTTCACATGCTTGTTTCAAGTGTTGATATCATTGGTTATAGAGCTAAACACTATACCTGGTCAAACCATGTGTTGATATCATTAGTTATAGAGCTAAACACTATACCTGGTCAAACCAAGTGTTGATATCATTGGTTATAGAGCTATACACTATACCTGGTCAAACCAAGTGTTGATATCACTGGTTATAAAGCTAAACACTATACCTGGTCAAACCAAGTGTTGATATCATTGGTTATAGAGCTAAACACTATACCTTGTCAAACCAAGTGTTGATAGCACTGGTTATAGAGCTAAACACTATACCTGGTCAAACCAAGTGTTGATATCATTGGTTATAGAGCTAAACACTATACCTGGTCAAACCAAGTGTTGATATCATTGGTTATAGAGCTAAACACTATACCTGGTCAAACCATGTGTTGATATCATTAGTTATAGAGCTAAACACTATACCTGGTCAAACCATGTGTTGATATCATTAGTTATAGAGCTAAACACTATACCTGGTCAAACCAAGTGTTGATATCATTGGTTATAGAGCTAAACACTACCTGGTCCAACCAAGTGTTGATATCATTGGTTATAGAGCTAAACACTACCTGGTCCAACCAAGTGTTGATATCATTGGTTATAGAGCTAAACACTATACCTGGTCAAACCAAGTGTTGATATCACTGGTTATAAAGCTAAACACTATACCTGGTCAAACCAAGTGTTGATATCATTGGTTATAGAGCTAAACACTATACCTGGTCAAATCAAGTGTTGATATCATTGGTTATAGAGCTAAACACTACCTGGTCAAACCAAGTGTTGATATCATTGGTTATAGAGCTAAACACTATACCTGGTCAAACCAAGTGTTGATATCACTGGTTATAGAGCTAAACACTATACCTGGTCAAACCAAGTGTTGATATCATTGGTTATAGAGCTAAACAGTATACCTGGTCAAACCAAGTGTTGATATCATTGGTTATAGAGCTAAACACTATACCTGGTCAAACCAAGTGTTGATATCATTGGTTATAGAGCTAAACACTATACCTGGTCAAACCAAGTGTTGATATCACTGGTTATAGAGCTATAGAGCTAAACACTACCTGGTCCAACCAAGTGTTGATATCATTGGTTATAGAGCTAAACACTATACCTGGTCAAACCAAGTGTTGATATCACTGGTTATAAAGCTAAACACTATACCTGGTCAAACCAAGTGTTGATATCATTGGTTATAGAGCTAAACACTATACCTGGTCAAATCAAGTGTTGATATCATTGGTTATAGAGCTAAACACTACCTGGTCCAACCAAGTGTTGATATCATTGGTTATAGAGCTAAACACTATACCTGGTCAAACCAAGTGTTGATATCACTGGTTATAAAGCTAAACACTATACCTGGTCAAACCAAGTGTTGATATCATTGGTTATAGAGCTAAACACTCTACCTGGTCCAATCAAGTGTTGATATCATTGGTTATAGAGCTAAACACTACCTGGTCAAACCAAGTGTTGATATCATTGGTTATAGAGCTAAACACTATACCTGGTCAAACCAAGTGTTGATATCACTGGTTATAGAGCTAAACACTATACCTGGTCAAACCAAGTGTTGATATCATTGGTTATAGAGCTAAACAGTATACCTGGTCAAACCAAGTGTTGATATCATTGGTTATAGAGCTAAACACTATACCTGGTCAAACCAAGTGTTGATATCATTGGTTATAGAGCTAAACACTATACCTGGTCAAACCAAGTGTTGATATCACTGGTTATAGAGCTAAACACTATACCTGGTCAAACCAAGTGTTGATATCATTGGTTATAGAGCTAAACACTATACCTGGTCAAACCAAGTGTTGATATCATTGGTTATAGAGATAAACACTATACCTGGTCAAACCAAGTGTTGATATCATTGGTTATAGAGCTAAACACTATACCTGGTCAAACCAAAGACTTGAAGTTGAAGTTGTGTTTTGCTGCCTCACAGAGCATTTAGGAATCAGAGCTAAGACTGGTCTGCTCAAAATCAAAATAATGTGTCTGGTTTGGTTGACAAGTTCTTCATACAGATTGTTGTTTTGTGTACTAGCACATTAATAATCAAACTAAGCATGCCTGTTTAGTACGTATACACTAAAGGGTTTACATTCATACGAATATGTTTTCATCCTGATATGCCTTTAATATTTGCCACTGGATGCTAAACACTAAATAATCCTTATTCAAGACCTTTATCATGTGGCTTATAAATAAAAAGAATATGCAAGTTTTTAATTAACTTCAATTAGACAGCAACTCAACAACAGAATATTGTTAAAGACATCTTAATATCATCATACTGTCTTAAGCATGTTAAAACTAGGGTCAATATAAAATAAGGAGATGTAGTTAGATTGCAAATGAGACAAATATCCAACAGAATCCAGTTGATTTAAGCACAACTATAGGTCAGAGTACAGTCACCAATGAACAAAACCCATATCATAAGGTCAGCTATAAAAGGCCCTGACATGACAAAATGTGAAAGTTAAAAAAAAAAAAAGACAACTAATGGCCTGATTTATGACAGAATAATAACCAAAAAACAAAAATCACAGACAGCAACCAACAACTACCACTGAATAACAGACTCCTGACTAGCTTGTTCCAAAAGATTGCGAACAAATTCAACATGTATTAGGCCATGTCAGAAATTTATGTTTTTTGGGGAAAAATTTTCAAATCCTATCATCCATTCAGTATTCAGTAAGAAAATACATATACTATAAGGGGAAAACCCTTATGAGGTTGTCTTGATAGATATCAATTTTCCAGACTTATCACTATTTTTCAGATGAAAAACAAAATTGTACACTGAGCGCAACATTCTATGCATGTACCATCATTTCCATGAACATTTCAAGAACTAAAATAATCAAATATATCCTCAGATATTCAAGTAACAAAATTATATATATGTGTTTTACCGTACTTATTTCATAAATTGTGTATGAATGATGTCATTGTTAACTTAATATTTTGTATTGGAGTTATCTTCCTTTGTCCATAATTGTAGTTTAACCAACTTGTATTGCCTTCCAAGGCTTTATACAATAACGTTTATTTTAAAGTTTCCACTGCAAAATGAATGCTATCTTTAACAAGCACTTTGATTTTAGTTACTAATTGATTATTTTAGTAAGTTGAGGAGAAAAAGTGCATATTGCCTTCATTTGAAGATTTCTTATTTTAGGCTTTGTTTTTAATGAGAACACCAGATTATTTGGACCATGTGAAAGATGAGAAGGTGAAATCATATTTGACTGAGAAAAATGATGCCCATAGACATTCATTGGGTACCCTTAAAAGTGAGTATTAGTGGTATTGCATTTTGGTTCAATTTTAAAAAGAAAAAAATATGTAAAACTTCTATTTTATACTTTATTTTAGGACCTATCACACAGGTGAAGTAATCTTCAATGTGAAACCTTTCAAACAGCTCTCAAATATTCTTCAGAAGCATTATTGTTTGTACGGTACTCATTTTTCATGTATTTCTTGGATCTATCTTACCACAAAATTTAGAATTCAACAATATACATATATAAAACTACTCCAATCTAGTCAACTCTTTAATCCACAAATTAAAACTCCCAAGAACCAATATCATTTCACTTTCAATGGAAATTAATTCTCACAAAGATGGGTACCTGACAATTACTGGCACATGACATAAATTATCATCTCTTAATGCATGTTTTTTTTTCTTTCAGCAAAATTGAGGACAAAGTATCCAAAACAAGTCCATGACTACAGCTGTACATATGAAAAAGAGGCTAATGGGCAACTTTACTTGAGTGGGTTTGAAGAAATGGGACAAAGAGTGCTACAGCATTTCAAGACAATGTTAAGTCTACAGTATCCCACCGATAGTCTTGGTCTGTCACCTACATTGAAAGATGTCCTGAAATTGGAACACGAGACTTTTATGTTTCAGCGTTCTCAGGTAATTGATAAAACAATAAGATGTGGTTTGATGGCCAATTAGACAACTATCAATAAAAAACAAGAAAACAACCTTAGAGCAGGAAAAAATCTTTAGAAAAAACCAATTTGTGTCAAATTTTTGGTGGGTAGGTCATGTAGGTAGGCAATATCAAACAATCTAAATTTTATTTTTGTCCTTGTATATGAAAGGAGTAGGTTCAGTAAGACCCCTTTTTGGCCCCAAAATATAGCAGTTTTACAAAATTGTGAAAATGTAATCTTTAAGCTATTTATTGTAAAGAAGAATGCTTCTGCTACATATATATGGGCTGTTTTTTACAATACAATGCACATATATCGGGTACTAACATCATTAAGTCATGTTAAATTACTGAAATCTTCAAAATTTTAGCATTTTAGTTAAATTTTAGACGGTTTTCGTCTTAAATGAAAGTGGCCGCATTCGTGTTCATTCATAATATTGAAATGTAAGTTGCATTTGATGATAATACATGATATATATAAAGGTTGAGGATGAACACGGATGCGGCCACTTTCATTTTTGACAAAAACCATCTGAAAAGTGACGTTTTTTGGCATATTTGATAGATTTTTCATATTTAAGCTTGAATCGGCGCGTTTTTTAATGACTAAATCAGTTAAAATCTTTCGCTAAACTAATCGAGTCAATTGAAATAGACACTTAAGTGTTTAAAAAGTGTCTAAAATCTTTCGTAAGCTGAACTTGAAATTTGAGGCCAAAATCGGCCCTTACCGGACCTACTCCTTTGAATAATGAATAAATGCATAAGTGCAAACATATTAATTGAGATATGTAAATGCCATATAACAAACCTTCTAGTTTGGTAGCATCCTTAGAATTTTTCAAAATCCACATCCGATTGCGTCTGCTAATTTGATATACCTCATCACATTATTTTTGAGGCTATCATTTACTGTTGAAAGAATGGTTGTAGGAACTTTAGAAAGATGTTTAGCATTTGTTAGAATAAGATTAGTTTGTGTAATTCTTTGGTAGTCTTCAAAGATCACAACTGATTCTGATTGACCATGTCAAATATCAGAATAATATTTATTTGAGGCTTTACTACAAAGAGAAGACAATGTTAAGATAATTAAAAGCTGTATTTGTGACACAGCTTAAGATCACAACTAATGCTGATAGACCATTTATATTTAAATATCTGAATACTGTAAATACTGAAATTATTGCAAGGTTTTTATTTATGCAAACAATGCGACTACATAAGAACTTGCATTCCGATATTAAATTCATTTCTCTGCATGTAGCTTTTCCTAAAATCACAATAATTAAACTCGCATTTATGTTAATTCTCCAAAAATTGCAATAATAAAATTGAGAATGGAAATGGGAAATATGTCAAAGAGACAACAACCTGACCAAAGAGCAGACAACAGCCGAAGGCCACCAATGGGTCTTTATTAAATGTACACAATAATTTCTGAATGTACATACCGTATATGATTTAAAGATAACTAAAAGCTTTATTTATGACACAGAGTAAGATCACAAATAATGCTGATAAAGTATTTTACATTTAAGTATCTGAATATATGCTTTAGGTTTTCTTGGAGGAAAAGAGGATGTAAAAATAATTGAAAGCTATATTGGTGACACAGATTAAGATCAAAACTGATAGACCATTTTATTGTTAAGTACTGTAAATTCAGAAATTATTGCGTGCATTTATTATTGCGATTTTGTCTTTTTAGACCAAAAAGCGATTTTAATTTTTGCGATATTGAGAAAAATCATGTTTAATTCATATAAAAAATTTCAAAATGCGAGTTTAAATTATTGCAATTATAACCCTGTCGCATTTTTCACAATAATAAAAACATCCCAAAAATTTCTGAATTTACAGTATTTAAATATATGTTTTAGGTTTTACTAGGAAGAGAAGAGAGCGTTCAGATGATCAACAGCTATATTATTTAAATATCTGAATATGTTTAAGTTTTACTAGGAAGAAGATAGCATTAAGATGATTAACAGCTGAAGAACACAACTAATGCTGAAAGCTAGACCAATATCTATATATATTTTAGGTTTTACTAGGAAGAGAAGAGAGCATTTAGATGAGCAACAGCAATATTATTTAGATATCTGAATGTGTTTAAGGTTTTTCTAGGAAGAATGATTTACAGTTTTTGGTGCCGTTCGTGTTGCTTAGTCTTTAGTTTTCTATGTTGTGTCATCTGTACTATTATTTGTCTGTTTGTCTTCTTATTTTTGGCCATGGCGTTGTCAGTTTGTTTTGGATCTATGAGTTTGACTGTCCCTCTGGTATCTTTCATCCCTCTTTCACACCTGAAGATCACAACTAATGCTGAAATATCTGAATATATGTTTTAGGTTTTACTAGGAAGAGAAGAGAGTGTTCAGAGGATCCATGGCTATATTGATGACACAGTCAAAGAACATGTTCCATTGGTACTTGCAGGTTTTCCTGGGTCTGGTAAATCTGCCTTGATAGCTTACACTGTGAAACAGTGCCTTACAAATAAGAAATACAAGGTGATTTTAATTAATGCGAAGAGAATGAGAGGTATAATGGAATTTGGAAGTCTCTAAACTATTGATTCCAATGGGATTAAGTGCTCTAAGTTGGAAGATGATCCGACGATCCCATAATCCTCTATTTTACCTCTTAGGACATCCTACCTATGGTCAGTTGGATCGTTTCAGAGAACTTCAATGATTTTAATTAGTGATTGTTGAATTAATTTATAAAAGGTTTTCAGCATTATCTATCTACTCTAACTTCAGCATTTTTTTGATGATTTTGATATTGTGAGAATTGGGGCCACATATGTTTAGAAAAAATAAAAACTAGCAATTTGAATTTTGATAGCATTATTTGTATGCTGTATTTCCTGTAGACTGACAAATTGTCCTGTTTAATGTATTTACCCATTTTGAGGTTAAGAAAATATGAATAACAGTGATAAAAGCACTGTTCCTTTACTTTTAGTGTGTTTTTTGATGTGCATGTACTGATTTTGTGTCATGGAAGGATACCCCATATCCTTTGTTTTTGTATTAGGGTAGGTAGTAAAATCCTAGACACAACTTTGTTTTTGATTTGGCTATAGTCTTTTAATTGGATTAAAGCTAGTTTTTGGAAAGAACCCAACTTCACAAATTTGATTTTAGCATCCATTATGGTATCATTAGACCAATGTGACTGAAGAGATTTAAAGGTAGAAAAGTCTCAAGGAACATTATTTTTATTTTGACCTTGAATTTAATCTGACCTTTTGTAGAGCTTATTAGTGGCTCTAACACTAACAAAATTTAACAGAAAAATTTTGACTACGATTGGTTTACCCCTTCACAGAATTCAAGTAATCAAAATACTTGATTTGGTGTTTACAAATTTGCTACTCACGAGTACTCAGTAAAGTTTTATTACCCAGAGCCTTGGTCATTAGAGTATTGTCAAATTTTGTTTCAGATAATAAAATTGAGAATGGAAATGGGGAATATGTCAAAGAGACAACAACCCGACCAAAGAGCAGACAACAGCCGAAGGCCACCAATGGGTCTTCAATGCAGCGAGAAAATCCCGCACCCGGAGGTGGTCCTCAGCTGGCCCCTAACTAAAATTGTGTGCTAGTTCAGTGAAAATGGACGTCACACTAAACTCCAATATATATATATATAAAAGGAGATGTGGTAATGATTGCCAATGAGGCAACTATCCACCAAAGTTCAAATGAAGTGGATGTAAGCAATTATTGGCAACCGTCCGGCCTTCAACAATGAGAAATATTCATACCATATAGTCATGATAGTCAGTTTTAAAAGGCCACGACATAAAAAATATGAAACAATTCAATTGAGAAAACTAAAGGCCTAATTTATGTTAAAACAATTTCCGAAAAACAAATACTGTGGATTCATTATTATTCGTTGGATACCAATTTTCGTGGTTTTCGTGGAAACAGGTGAACCACGAATTCAACTGTTCAACGAATTACAAATTTACTACCAGGTTGTATGCAGAATCTTTCAAAACCACGAAATCACATATCCACGAAAAGGCAAGTTTTCCTCAATCCACGAAAATTGGTATCCACGAAAATAAATGAATCCACAGTATGACAGACATGAACTAAGACAACAGCTGAAGTACAGGCTCCTGACTGTTTAAATGAAAAGTTATATGTTATATGATGATAAACTTTCAAATTCAGTGTAATTGGATTTTTAATAAAAGTAAGACATTGAGGAGAGATTATTTTTAGAGTAAATAGAGCAGAAAGTTAGAAAAAATATACAAAGACAAATAAATTATATAATGATTATTCAAACATCTTTTTATTGATTTTCACCGGTATTTTTATATGATGATAAACTTTCAAATGCAGTGTAATTGGATTTTTAATAAAAGTAAGATAAGGAGAGATTATTTTTAGGGTAAATAGAGCAGGAAGTTAGAAAAATATACAAAGACAAATAAATTATATAATGATTATTCAAACATCTTTATTATTGTTTTTCACCAGTATTTTTAAACTTTGTACATTTAAGAATTTTATTTTTAGGTATTTTACCATTTTATTGGAGCAACTCCAGGATCGACAGATTTGTTCCAGATCTTACAGAGATTTTTCTTGGAATTCATGCCTGAGGGAACAAAGATGCCTGAAGACTTGCAAGAAATGAAAAGATATGCTCACACCATGTTTAAATATGCAGCTCAAGTGGCTAAGAAAGAAGGCTACCAAAAGATTGTTGTGTTTTTGGATGCCCTGAATCAGATGGATGATGATGGTAAACTTTATGTTATGTCAGGCGTGGATCCAGCCATTTTTAAAAGGGGGTTCCAACATATGCAAGTCATATAATTAGGGAGGACTCCAACCTAAATTCAGATACAGTTGGAAGTGGGAAAAGTTTCTAGAATGTCCCCTAAGCCCACCACCCTGTGGCATGGCCAATCCATTTGATTTCATTCAACATTAGTATTGAGCATGCAGTACCTTGGAAAAATTATGTCATACAATATTAGTCAATTTTAAGCACTTTTTAAAAATCCTGATTTCTTTGGACCTTTGTGTAAGTTATTATTTTAAAATTTTCTTTTTACTTAATTTTGATATCCCTTAAAGATAAAATTACTGCAATGGGGATCTAATCTAAAAATAAACCTTTGTTAAGATTTACCACTTTACACATGCTTTACTTAAGGACTATTCCATTAAAATAGATTGGGAGGGTAGGAAAGGATCTCCATGCAACCAAAAAACTTTCTTCCAGGAATTTTGCATATAGATAAAAACATACAACCATAAATGACCTACGACCAATGTCTAGAAATTAAACTTTCCTGGCTTCTTTCCCTCCAATATCATTTTAATGGGATAGTCCAATTAAATGAGTTTTTTTTTCTTTCTAGGAGCCCTTTACCTGGTTTGGCTTCAACCCATGTCCAGAAATAAAACTTCCTTTCCTACCCTGATCTACCCTCCCACATCTGGTTTAATGGAATAGTCCAAATGATTTTTTTGATTTTTTTTTAGGAGATGCCCATTATCTGGTTTGGCTACCGAAAAAACTGCCTGAAGGAATGAGGATCATTGTTAGTACATTGGACGGAAAATGTCTCAATTCGCTCCGTGATGATCCAGATCGTAAAACTGATGAAAAGAAATCAATTGAATTGTCTGTTGATCCACTCGTTAAAAGTATTCGGAAAAATATTGTCTGTAAAATACTTGCTGAGTATAACAAAAGGTTGGACGATGAACAGGTAAGGCCAAATAAAGATGTTATAATATAAAAGAGGGTCTGGATGGGGTTTACCGAATAGAAAATAAAGGGTAAAGAATTTAAAAAAAAGACAAATAGAGACCACAAAAATAAAGAACAGAGAATAATGGGGTGTTAAAATATAGAGAATAGAGAGTAATAGGAAAAAAAAAGAAAACAGAAGAATGGTCTAAAATATGAAAGAATAAAGAAATGAAGGTCCCCCATCAAGACCCTTAAAAAAAAGATGATGTATGATTGCCTTTGAGACAATTATCCACCGAATACCATATGACATACATGTTAGCAACTATAGGTCACTGTACGGCCTTCAACAATGAGCAAAACTCATACTGCAAAGCAAGATATATAAGGCCTTTAAATAACAAAATGAGAAAACTAATGTCCTGATTTATGTACAAAATAACAAACTAAAAACAAATATCATATACAGTCACAAATTACAATAACTAAATTACAGGCTCCTGACTTTGGACAGGGACATACAGATAGTGATGGGGTTCAACATGTGGCACAGGGTTAAATGGGGTTAAGATTTTCTTACCATCCCTTGTTTGCCATAAAACTGAATGTTGTTGCAGTTTTCTTTTTGAAATTTGTGAAAGCTGGAATGTTTTTTTTTATATTTTACATTAAAATTTCTTGATTAAAAAAAACAAATAATGTTTCTTATTTTAAATAAAAAAGACAAAATAAAAAAACAGAAAGTATTACTGCTTCATCAAAATTTTAACAAAAAAGGCAGAAGACAGATGCTGATCAAAGATTTCGAAAAAGGGGGACACAAGGCCCCCAAACTAGGCAATGCTTGAATGTAAAAAGGTTATGCATTAACCATATATGTAGCATCCCCTTGCCCTAAAAGAAATGTTCCTCTGTGAGAAGGTTTTAGAGTTAAATTATTAATAAAACTTTTATCAAAAATTTATTGTAAATTCTGAAATTATTGCGATATTATTTTTTAATAATTTAATTTTTGATGTAACACGTCTTCTGATTGGCTGAAAGTGTTTTGTCTATCAGCTCATAGACATAATTTTGTTATGTGACCGTGACGTCATCAACGTTTTTTCATGATTAACTCCTTAAAAATGGAATTTAGAATTAAATTATAAGGAATGACTAATATTTTTTCTGTCTATTCGAAATAACCTCAAAAACGAGGTGCACACTTTTAAATAACACTAAAACCTTGCATTCATTATTTCATTAATGATTATCTTTCACAAAATTTGTGCAGTCACATTAATTACATCTTACATTTTTACCAATAAATCAGTGATTCAAAATAAGTATAAAATGCACACATCAATTTCTGAATTTGCAGTTGTTTAAATGCTCAAATGAAAAGAGAATTTTTTCTTTTAACTCAAAACAGTAGCGTCATCATCAGTCATTTTGATATTAATTTTCACCAAGTTTATCAATGTATAATATTATTATTAAAAGCAGTGATTCATTTATATTTGAACATGATGCAAAGACATTTTTAGAATGATATGCTTGTCTTTTTGCAGTTAGAGATTTTAACTGATAAGCCTGATGCTGGGCGACCATTATGGCTGACTGTTGCATGTGAAGAACTCAGAGTGTTCGGTGATTTTAGAAAACTGACACAGAAAATTAGAGATCTACCAATTGACATGATCGGACTTCTAGAAGTCGTAAGTTATTCATTGTTTCTAAATCCAAAGAATTGTGGGTATTATATGTGTTGGTACATTAGAATGATTGATTGATTGATTTTTGGTGTCTAACCCCACTTTCAGCAGTATTCGCTATATAATGATGGTCAGTTTTTATTGGGGGTGAAAGCTGGAGTCCTCTGAGGGAACAGCTTTCCTTCAGCAGATAAGCTGGCAATTCTATTCAATTAAGATTTGAGTTGAACATACCTGCCACATGCTAGGTTTTGAACTCACAACCTCGAGATCAGTGTTGACAAGCTAGTGATACAGTAGATGAACTTCTTTACTCTGCCACCAGTGATATCTTTATTGCAATTGATAAAAAAAATGTGATGTGTGATTTGTGATATGTGATATGTGATATCAGGAAATATTGCATACAAGTAATGATAAGGAAATTTAAAATGCAAGTTTTTATTATGTCAAAATTTTTGCAATAAGAAAACAATGCAAAAAATTCTGAATCTACTATAATGAATATGTTCTTTTCATAAAAAAATCACACATTTGGTTTATTTTAGGTTTTAGGCAGAATTGTGAAGGACCATGGGAATGAGCTAGTGCAAGCCACATTGTGCTTAGTAGAGACATCAAGATTTGGACTTCTAGAAACAGAATTGTTAGAACTGCTGGCCATGCAGCCTAGTATACCTGGAGCAGAGATTGTAGATGATTTAGCTTTTGAAGGCAGACTTCCAATGGCAAAGGTAAAGTGTTCAGAAAGATTTCTTAAAAATCCATTTTTTTACATTTTGAAATTTTCAGTGAAAAGATTAATTCATGACTCAAACTAATTCAATTGGACTGTGGTTTCAACCCCCAAAAAATTCTTGTTGCTGTATATTATTTAAAAATTTGTTTGTTTTTTAATTTGAAAGTTGAATTAGATAAATTGTCCTCAGAATAAAAACCCATGCTCAAGTTCAAAATAGTTAAATGTTATTTGCTTTTTTATGCATTTTCGATATGAAAACAAAACACAAAAGATAAAGGCTAGATTAACTCTATAAAAATGATCGCTTGTATGCTTAAGCTTGTATCTACCATTTTGATAAATATATTCTAAGCTTCTTAGTGAAACAGATTATTTAAATTCTGTTTCACATAAGTGCTAAATAAGCATTGATAAAACTGTATTTTACAAATGCTTTAATCATTTATAGTGTTATCTCCCTTTACCATAAACTACCCCCTTCATCAATAGATACTACTGAAGTTTAATGGACAATTTCTTTTAATTGACAGTGGGCTTTAGTGTATGTTGGATTACGACAGTTTCTACGTCCATGTGGAAGCTCAGGTGAAGGACGATTAGATTTCCACCACAGAACTATGAGCAAGGCTGTCAGGAAGATGTACCTGTCCAACCAAGCAGCACAACATTGGTGGCATCAAAGACTTACTGAATATTTTGACAAATGGTTAGAAATATATCAATTGCTGACATTTCACATTTATTTAAGGATGTACTTAGGTGAGGTTTAGGAATTTGTGTCAGATTTTTGGACTCCTTGGTTTTTTTCCTTCAATACAGGGTAAAATATTTTGCCCCATAACACCCGTTTTTCTTTTCATATAATACTTCAATGGCTCTTTAAAAGTCATTTACCAAAATTTAAGCAGATTCTAGATTTCTTTTCTTTCCATTTGAGACCCAAATAATACCAATGCAAATATAAGGTAAAAGTCTGAGTCAGCCTTTTCCCGTCATTTTTTAAAAATCAAATATCTCGAAAAGGAGCTCCATAACCTATCAATATTTTTAGCTTATTTTGTTCCTTAACTTATGCTCTTCTAATTTATAGTATCAATTTTAAAATTCGTGATTTTTTTACTTTCACCAAAGTTCATCCTTAAATAAGAAAATTTGATAATCAATTTATCAGACTGTATTTGTATCAAACCTTAAAAAGTATGAAGTTACGTCAGTAGTTTAACAAACGCATTAATTTACCACATTTACTAGTTATCTTCCTTGATCCAGGTCTATACCCCTCTTAAAGAAAGGAAATTAGTGAAATAATAGTAAAGCTATCATAGTTATGTTTCAGTCCTCTAAAAAAACTGTTCACCACAGCTGTTGAACATACAAAAAGTTGATGCTGTTATAATGAATACTTCTTTTTTTTTCTCCTTTTTTTAAGGTAGGAAATGTTGTTTTTTGTGCAGCATGTTTTCAAATTTTAAACTACAGAATTTTGTTTAACTCTAAATTCATTTATTCACAGTTATTTTTAAAGATACTTGGTACTTTCTTTATTTCACCATTGCCATGAATTCGAACTTTTGCACACCTTCCATATGCCCTATCATGACCCTCATCATGATCTTTTTTGTGTTTTTCAGCACTGACATGGAAAGAAAGGCAGAAGAATTGCCTTATCATTTAGAAAGCTCTGCTGACAAGGAGAAATTAAAAGAAGTTCTGTTGTCACAAGATATGTTTAAAGAAATGTACCAAGACAACAGTAAACAGCAGTTAATGAAATACTGGCGTTTCATTGGTGGATACCAAATTGCATCAAAATCTTATTATGATTCTCTGAAGAGATTTATCATGGTATTTATTGTTAAATTTATTCTTTCACTTGTTAGTTTTTTGTGCTAACTCTAAGTAAACCTTTTTTCCTTCTACAAATTTTTCTTCCATTCTGACGAATGGGTCAATGACAACCACTTAGCTAGGCATCCATTTTTGTTTTCAATTGTCAATCTTCTCCAAGATGACTAATTTTTACTTTTTTTGATTGGTCGTAAGTGTTACTTTTATAAATGTGATATTTTTCATTGCAAAGCCATTAATTTGGTCTTCATTGCTAAAAATAGAACATACAGGTAAAGTGAAAATACTTGTCCATTTTTTTAAAAACCATAATTGATATGTTACATGAGTATATTTACAAGGTAAAAATGTTCAGAATGTCAATTTCTACCTATTTTCTATATCTACCAAAATTATTGGATGACTCCATATATATGAGTTATTTCCCTTATATAAAAATGTTGAACAAATTTTAGTATATCATTCTGCTTCTTGTCTTGAAAACTATTTTAGAAAACTGAGGACAACAAAATTCAAGAATTTAAAAAGTTCTGTGGATGAAACTGTCTAAAACAATTGACTGTTTATTAGTGTAAATGCCCTTAAATTATTATTTTGAAAATTATTCTTAATATATCTCCTTCATGTATAGCTCTTACCTAATTGGATACACTTTTGGCCCTTTTTGGTTTTATCAGCTATTTAACATTTCTTTAAGTTTTTGATTTAAGGTAACTGGCGTGTCTAAATGTCCGACAAAGATTTTTCTTAAACTTCTTTAAAAGATTTCTTTGTCAATGTACTTTTAAATTTCAATATACACGGAACTTGTTTTTTTGTTAAAATTCATTGAAATTAATGAAATCGCAGTTATTTTATATGGCTTATGTGGGGAAACTTAATTTTTCCTTATTGAGGAAACATTAACAATAGAATTGGTTAAAATTCAATGAGTGAATTGCTTTATATAAATAATTTTGAAATATCAAATGAAAATAGGGGTCACCAGCCATGTTGTCTTGAAAAATCCCCCAAAACACAAGTTGTCAAATTCAATATAATTATCTGCCTTTGATTTTAAAAGGATTTTTTCTAAAAAAAATTATACACTTAAAGACACTTAATTTTTTGATAGTTTAATCTTGAAATTTCAAGTTTTAGATGTTTCTGTCATAAATTGAATGATACTTGGTAAATATTTTTAAACCCAAAAAGTGTTTTTGCAACATGCCCAATAGGGATGATCAGAACAAGACACCCGATCTACCTTAATGCCAAAATTCCCGTCTATGATTAGGCACAAAACTTTATTTAACATGAATTTTACGTACAATAAACTTGAAGAGAAACTTACAAACAAATATATAACTTTTGAATATCTTGTTTATTACAGGATAACAATTTAACAGAAGTTTTAGACTGGGCTCCCATACAATCAAAAACAGCATCATTCCTGGTCGATATTGGGGAATATGCCATTGCAGAAGACATGTTGAATGAGGTCATTACAACACTAATTGAAAAGTATGGCAAGGATTCTAAAGAGTTATGTGAACCAACTTACTGCATGGTCAATCTTTTGTACAAAAAAGGTAATTACTGGTATGGACTTTTCCATAAAAATGGATTTGGGTGGGGGGGCTGGAAATTTCTATTTTCAACCCTTTCACCGATGAGTCCCGGTTTACCGGGATTTACGCTTCAGACAGCTGACGACGAGTCCCGTTTTACCGGGATCGGAATACCTCTTTTATATTTTCCGCTCAAAACAGTGCAAACACGAGTTATCTTTCTTTGTTGAATACCCGGATGAAAGTGTAAACATGGCGCTTCCGTTTGTTGAAAACCGTGTCAAAATCAGAGGAAATTTACAGAATTTACGAGAATTTAAAATGAGGGAACATTTTTTTTGAAAGAATATGGAAGAATTGAAGCCAAACTAGTATACTTTTTTGACATAAAATGTTGTTTTATGTACAAAACACTTGGAATGGACATCGTTCAGTGTAAGGAATTTGTACAGCCTCATTAAATTTTTCAAAATTTTGCCGTTTTTGGTTAAAAAATTACAATTTTGGGTCAAAAAGTAGAATTTTGAGAATTTCACCTAGATAATGCGGAAAATTTGAAAATTTGAATATTTTATGAAAAAAAATTATCAAAACATGAACAAAACTGTGAACATGGTGTTAGTGAATGAAATAAAGACACAAAATACTACAGACAACTTTTTATTGACATTTATTATGAAGATCTCCCACTTGAGTAATAGTAGCCAGGGAAGCCATCGTCTCAGAGTAGCTTCTGTCTGGGCAGCTATCGGTGAAAGGGTTAAACATGGGTTAATAGTCATTTATGGTTGTATACAAACTTGATGTATGCCAATCTGATTAAAATACAGATCTGTGTGTCCAAGCTTTGCTTTCAATGATCTGAAAATGCTCCATTCTAATTTTTGTTCTAAAGAACTTTAGGGATCCTCTGGTTTTGTCAGATTATTACACACATTCATAAATTTGAAGGCTGAAATTTTATTGGCATAAAATAGAATAGAATAGAAAGTAAAACAGAGTGTTGTTAGATCCTTGTAAGCAAAGCTTATAGACACAGGATCTGTATTTTAAACAGAAAGGATATATACAAAACTACTGAGAAAGTATCAGTGGCGGATCCAACCCCGGAACCCCCCCTTTTTTTTTTTTGACGATCAATGCATTTGAATGGGGACATATAGTTGGAACCCCCCCCCCCTTTATCCTGGGTTGGGAACCCCCCTTTTAAAAATGGCTGGTTCCGCCCCTGAGTATTTTGGTTGTGGTAGAATTTTAGATATCCAGTCCTGCCCTCCCACATCCAATTAAATTTAATAGTCCAATTCAATATGGTAACACTGTGCATGTAGCTTCTGAGTTTGGAATGCTTCAAAGACATCTTGGCCTAAAGATTTTGATGTTTTTTTATTTGGGCCAAATACTACAAATTTCACATAAAATTAAATAGTTGTGATATTACTAGTAATACAAATTCAGGGACCGCGCTGGGCGTCGCCAATGTCGCAATTTGTGATTTTTTATTTCATCTGGCGACAAAATACAGTTGCTGGTGATGTTTCTGGTGCCAACATTTTCCTATGTAAAAATTTTCATTTCTTGACTGTAACGGTAACATATCGATCTTATTTGGTAAAAGTAAAAAAATAAATTGTACGAAATTTTACCTTGCGACAAGTTTATGACTTTGTTTACAACCCCAAGCTTACTAACGGTTACAACAGGTGTCATAATCTGTTGTTACAGGTAATCCGTTTATCGGATGGGTCATTAATGATCATCAACATTAATTCATTCAAATAGAATCGGTCAGTCAGCATTTGTCATTTCATTTGAAGAAATTTTCATACGACAACACAATTTTCAACGTTAACCGTAGTTTCATGAAGAAAACCTAATTGACAGAAAGAAAAAACCATAATCAACATTGTTTTACTTGTATTCCCTAAAATAGTTAATTCAGACGTAATATGTCTTTGCCTGCCCTCACTTTTGATCCATTGTTTGATCACATTTACTTCTACTGCGTATTGTGTATAATCCTCCTTAGAAGGAGCACACCCGAATAAAGAAAGATAACTCAATTTTTATTTAAAGTATTGAAATACCTTCTCAAGATAAGTCTACATACATCTGACTTTAGAATTTATTGTTTAGGAGGTCTTTTGAGTTATGGACAAAGTTAAAAGGGTCTTGGTAGCATGATGGGTAGGGTGCTTTGGTCATCATTTTCTGTATTCTTTATTTTTTATACAAATTTTCACTCGTCTGTATATATCTGAACACCCATTATTCTCTTTTCTTCATTTAAATGCCCATTTTTTCTATTTTTTATTTTTTTAATTTAAAAATATTTTCCCTGTTCTGCAGCATATATACAGACCATAAGCTAATTATAAGGACAGGAACATTGATCATAAATAGTCATTATATAAGTCCCATTAGTCACTGTTTGGAGAAATAAACATTCAAATAAAAACATACAATATGCTGTTTTGTGGAAAAACATATGTTTTGTTTTAAGGATGTTCACTACTCTGTTTCAAAATAACAAGCTTTTTAAAAGACTCTTATTAATTGATAGTATATGAATAAAGGAATTAACTAAAAAAGCAGAAAAAAATGAAGAGTCCGTGTGCTTGTTTTCAAGATATAAGCCTTTGAAAATTTGGCGGGAAATGATTCTCTCTAGATTTTTCTTACATTTAACATTGGCACATTTTTCTTTCAAAAACTAAGAAAAAATAACAAGGATTTTATAAGATTTTCAAATATGGCTTTTTATACTATATGTAATATAAAATATGTAATGAAAAGAAAAGTAGGGGTTAGTGGACAAAATTTTGTAATGGCCAAACAAGGATAAAACAAGAGGATTCTGAAAATCTGGCAAAATATCAAAAACAAGAGGAGCGAACATCCTTAATCTTTATTGTTATATTTTTATTCGTATATATATGAAATACTGACGAAGAAAATAAAAGTACACATATTTTTTCATGTATATAAATCCTTGCAATAACTACCTTAGTGTAACATGTTAAATGATGTACAGTGCAGACTGAGTGCACAAGAAATTTAAATTGAACATGGTTTCAATTTTGGTAGAGGAAATTAAGATTCTAGCTGGCTCTAAAGTTGGCTCCAAGTTTTTTAAACTGGCAACAAAATATAGCAGCTGGCGATTTTTCTTGCTCCCCTGAAAGTAACTTCTTCTTAGCACATCAAATTTATATAAATTATGTGGTATGATCCCTTAATTATGCATTATTGTTGTTTTAATACCAGTTTTGGTCAAATTTTTCAATAATTCTTAACAATTTCAGCATGACTAACTTACAATCTGCACCTCCCTGAAAAGTTCCTTCCGCCCCTTCTCACAGATGTTTTTTTTTCCCAAATCACAAGAAACCTTTAATAATTACAAAGCCTCTCTTACAACACAATAATTCCCCCATCATTAGAATTGTTTTAATCTATTGGCAACCTGCCATTTAAAGATTTGAAAACTAGAATGTCTCAATTGGCAAGATAATGGGTATCTTCCTAGATGCAAACGAGGACCAAAATTTATGCAAGTAAATAAAGTGTTATACAATGTACCTAGTATGAGGGTTTTGTTCTAAATGTGCCTTATATTTTATTACAAAAGGGTCAATATAGGAGGGTCTGGATGGGGGGTCCTCCATTTCTGTATTCTTTAATTTTTTTGGGCCATTTTTCTTTATCTTTAAAATTAACTCTTATTCTGTAAAATTCTCAAGGAAATCATTTTACTTTTGTACATTGAAAGTTACCATACATAATCATACATAAGCTTTTATTTGCCCTCACAAGACATATTTCTGTAATCAGTATTTCATTACCTAATACTTTAATTTTCTATTCTTTTTGCTCAATTTTCTCTGTTCATTAATTTTTTTGGAAATTATTCACCATTCTGTAAACCCTATCCAGACCCTCATATAATACTAATATAACATGTATTCACCTCTTTCTATTTTACAGCCCTGCAGTATGTATATGGAGCACATCCTGGATACAGAGAGTGCTGTGTTAAAGGTTTAAAACTCTCGGACCTCTGTGTGGCAGTGAGTAATATTATATAACAGATTTAAACAAGAAGGGCATATTAATTGTCCAAGAAAATGACATGATTGAGTCTACTCCCATTCTTCAAAATTCTTCTAAAATATAGGGAAACGCATAAAATCTATAAAAAATGAAAGCATTAGATAAGATTAAGAAAATATTTCTTTTTTTCTTTTTCATATTTTATTTAAATCTGTACACTTAAGCTTGTTATACAGGCTCTTATAAATTGTTTCTGTCCATGGGAAGGTCGACTATCCATATATAGTCGACCTTCCCATCGATAGAAACAAGTGCCTGTGATTTGTTATTAATTGAAAAACCTCAAGTACTGGTATCTTATCCTGGCCTTGTTAACATTGGTAAATATGATATATTTATATAAAGCTGTTAGTATTTTTTAGAAATATACACACAAGTATTACATATATAAACAATTTATATGATATATATTAACATGTCAGAAATATCAATTAAGAAGCTAAATATCATTAAGATTATCAAATATGATTATCTGATATAACAAATGCACAGGTTATCAAAAATATAGAGTTTGTATAGTTTTAGTAGTAAAATTCAAAGATATATATTTTGAGTATGTCTGTAGATTTTTAAGCAATCAAAGAGAATTTTTTCAGTTCAAAAGTTCTTTTGTTCGTTTTAATTTTATATTTGCACAGATGAATTTTATAGTATTTTCTCATAAAAGAACCAATTTTAGCATATGGCAATTTTGTTTCAATCTAATAAATTAGATTTAGAAAGTTATGACTTAATGATAATATTGAATTTAATATTTTGCAAAAATTAACAAAAATGCTGATTTGATGAAGATTTCCATCCAAATCTCCTTGGCAATTTTCACCAACCATTTAATTTGACGCCAACTAAAATAATTGACTCCACATGCAGTATTTATTCTATCAATGTAAAACCTCAGTATTATTCATTAATGCTATTTTGTGTATTTTTTGTAATAAATTTTCATATCATGCTACTCGCATGTGATAAAAATTTATTGCTAGGGTAAACATCAACGATGTCATAGGCAAAAGGATGTTTCTGGGCCACACATCATCTCAGGGCTGTTGCCCTTTGATGAGATTGTAGCTGAGAAACACCCTCTCATTTGAAAAACCATTGATAACCTATTAATATTTTTAAATGTAGCAAAATGTTTAATTTTTCTGCAATAGAATCTTTCATTTTATTTTTATGCCCCACCTTGGGGCATTATGTTTTTCGGTCTGTGTGTCCGTTCGTCTGTCCGTCCATTCGTCCGTCCGTTCATCTGTCTGTCCCACTTCAGGTTAAAGTTTTTGGTCAAGGTAGTTTTTGATGAAGTTGAAGTCCAATCAACTTGAAACAAATAGTACACATGTTCCCTATGATATGATCTTCCTAATTTTAATGCCAAATTAGAGTTTTGACCCCAATCTCACGGTCCACTGAACATAGAAAATGATAGTGCGAGTGGGGCATCCCGTGTACTATGGACACATTCTTGTTTTATTTAAGGTACACAAGAAATATTTTTCCAAGGATAAACAATATCTAGGACGTGTTTTATTGTCCTGTGGATACTTTGAAAGAGGAATAAGTTGCTTGGAAGAAGCATTGAAAATGTTTGAGAATATAAACGACCAGCAGGGGTTAGCAGTGGCATTGTATATGTTAGGTGAAAAGAACCAGTATCACAGTGATTTAAGTAAGTGTATTTAATTAAGGTTAAAGGTTGTACTCTCCTCTGTTTCTAAATAACTAGGTTTTTTGAAAGACTGCAATAAATTGATAGTAATTTTAAATAAAGGAACTTAAAAAGCAGAAAAAGTTAAGGTCAATGTCGTTTTGTTTTTTGAGATATAGTCGATTGAAATTGTGCTGATATAAGTAGGGGTTAAGGGGCAAAAGTTTTATTGGCACTACATGGATAAAACTAGAGGATTCGGAATATCTGACAAAAAGTCAAAAAGAAGAGTAGTGAACATTCGTAACATGTAGTGGTACATACAAGTTTGATGATAGGTACTAGTATCACTGTGACAATGATTATAGTTAGTGCATTTAGTTTACTGTAAGCATGCAGTGCATGGAAATGTATGTGTAAGGGGAAAGTAACCAGTATCACAATGATTTCAGTAAACTTGTGTATTTAATCACCATTGTGTCATTGACATCATTGTAGTAAAAAGGGGATAAGATACCATGTGGGAACCAAAAAGGTAAGTCAGCAAAAAACAGATGTAAACATGGCATAACGAAAAACAATAAAACAACAAGCAACGCGAAGTCCACAAAACTTAACACAGGAAAAGTAAGGATTAAGCAACATGATCCTTCCCTAATTCTGTAAACAAACTAAGTTTTCGAGAGCGATTTAATTTTCTCAACTTTTGCCTGGAGAAAAATAATGTGAATACTTAAAACTTGATTCTTTCCTTATTTAAATACTTCATGTAAATTAGAAAATCGTGAAATTAAATCGTAAGATGTTGGATAGAAAGGGTTGAATGCAAAAAATAAGTTGGTTTACAGTATTTGAAGTGAATCTGAGGATACAGCAAGTTTCTGTTCCACTAGCTATTAATGACAACTTCTTTGTTACTATGCATGATGACGAGAGCTGTAGACTATATCTATTTCAACAGGTTTGAAGTTTAAATGTCACTTTGTTACCATGCATGATGGGGTTCAAAGGTTAGATATATCTGTAAAGATCTTGAACCTCATTTAACAAAGAATTCAGTAAAGTAAAGTAAGGATAAATTACACTTCGATTCATAGATGGATTGTTGTTCAAAATCCAGTGGCAAACATTAAGAGCATATCATGTTGAGAACATGTTGATGTGAAATGAATATATATGAATATGAACCCTGCTTTGTTCTAGTCAAGTTGCAATTTTATTGTGCTAGTTCACAAGGTAAGTCTGCAAGAAGACGTGTAGTGTAGAGAAGTAGCAAATACCAATTTTCAAGTATTCAGTTTGATCAGGCCTGGATTGAGTACGAAAAACATTTGTACATTAAAGGAGCTATGCTGAAAAGACACATCGAATTTCCATTTTTCTTGTTTGACAATTGAACAATTGAAGCACATCTGAAGAAGATAATAACTGGTTCATTAGTTGAACTAAGCAATTCTTTTTTTCATCTTTTCTATTTTAAACATAACAAACCTTTTTCAGTAAATTAAGTTTTTCAAAATCCATCTGAATTTCAGCCTCTAGATTCCACACAGAATATCCAAAAAAACTGGTAAAATTGTCGTCTGCTTTCAAAATTTTAGTCCATGTTTATACATTGCTTTAATTTCTCAATATTTAAAAACTTTTTGTACAATTGATTTATTGATTGTCGTTTAACGCCACTTTCAGCACTATTGTACTAATTCATGGCAGTCAGTGTTTATTGGTTGAGGAAACCACTCCTTAAAATTTGTTTATTTGATAATATTTTTTTTTGTTCTTAAACAGGTATACCAACAGAGATGTTTAAGAAATCTATGGGACTATGTTCATCCATGTTTGGTAAATTTCACCTCAACACAGCCAGATGTGCACAGCTGCATGGACAGATGTTATGGAATAATTGGGTAACTTATTAAATTAAATTGAGTGCTGTATTTTACCACTTTTTATGCCCCTGCTTCGGCCGAGGGGGCATTAAGTTTTAACCTTGTCCATCTGTACGTACATTCATCTGTTTGTCTGTCTGTACATCCCAAAATTAGTTTCAGTTCTCTAACTTTAGTTTGCCTCAACCAAATGTTATGAAACTTATACACAATGCCTATTACTACAAAACACAGATCAAGTACGAATTTGGGGGTGTCACTTTTACCGCTCTTGAGTTATGCCCCTTTATAAAGTTATATGCAAGGACGGGCATCATCTGTGTCCCATGGACATATTCTCCATTTATTTGTTTATTGTCAAAGCATTAATTGTCAGTTTGTTTTTTGACTCATGAGTTTGACTATCCCTTTGGTATCTGCTGTCACTCTTTTACCTAACAGATCACAGCCAATGTTATATTAAGGATGTTTGCTCCTCTTGTTTTTTAAATTTTGTCAGATTTTCGGAATCCTCTGATTTTATCCATGTAGTGCCATTAGAAATTTTGCCCACTAACCCCTTCTTTTCTTTCCATAATTTGATTACATATAGTTTAAAATGTCATCTTTAAAAATTTTACAAAATCCTTATTATTTTTTCATGGTTTTTGAAAGAAAAATGGTGCCAATGTTAAGTGCATGAAAAATCTAGAGAGAATTATTTCCTGCCAAATTTTCAATGGCTTATATCTGCAAAACAAGCACACTGACCCTTCATTTTTTTCTGCTTTTTTAGTTTCTTTATTTATATACTATCAATTTATAACAGTCTTTTAAAAAGCTTGTTATTTTGAAACAGAGTAGCAAACATCCTTAATTCATATACCCTCAGTCCTAGTGGCTTGATTGCATTCATCTTGTGTGTCTGTCCATCCTCTTATCTAACAAATATTTTTGGCACACTTTTCTCAGGTATTAGATAACAAAATTACTGCATATTTGGTGAATAGCAGCTTGACAGTGATAGGTTGTTGTGAAGGGCATTAGCTGTCAAATTCATGTTCACCAATTTGACTCAAATTCTCATATGTGGTTTACAACAAACTAAAATGTATACATACCTGTCAACTTATGAAAATGAAAATGCAGGTCATGACCTGCATTGAAGAAGAAAATCTCTGGCCATTAAGTGTACAAATGTTTTTTTAGCTGAATTGAAGTATTTAGGGGACATTTTTTTATATTTTAAATCAAACAGTTTCCAAAACATGTTCACTTGGTTAAGTATTAACTGAAAATAAATAAAAACTTTAATTTTATTTTTTCATTGCATTGATAAGCCTTTGAAATATTAATGTATTATTCTATATCAATTCAAGCCAAGCCATACCCCCTCTTCTTGTTTCATTCATAGTTTTAGATCAATTCGCAAGCCACATGTTTCCAAGTATGCATCAATATGTACACCTTTAGTTATTCCATGACGACAAAGGGGGTTATCATCAACCTTGACTACCCATGAGGGTCTTGCATGGTCAGTTAATTTGTTGATATTAGAATATGATAAAAACATATTGATATGATTTGTTGATATGATTTCCGAAGGAAAAATCTGTTATTGATTTGGGGATGTACGGCGGGCGGGTGGGCGACAACATGAAAACTCTTTGACGAAATCTTTTAAAATTTATATATGTTGTTTCCTGTGACTAAATGAAGGTCAAATTCGATTTTCACCATTTTAGCTTTAATCGTTGTTGAGTTGTAAACCTTTCAATAGCGAAAAGTGATACTTAGAGCGTTGTCCGTGCAATAACTTGATAATGCTTTGATGAAATCTTTTCAAATTTAGATATGTTGTTTCCTGTGACTAAATGAAGGTCAAGTTCGATTTTCACGAATTTAGCTTTTATCGTTGCTGAGTTGTAGACCTTTCAATAGCGAAAAAAGATACTTAGAGCATTTTCCGTGCAATAACTTGATAACACTTTGACGAAATCTTTTCAAATTTAGATATGTTGTTTCCTGTGACTAAATGAAGGTCAAGTTCAATTTTCACAATTTTAGCTTTTATCGTTGTTAAGTTGTAGACCTTCCAATAGCGAAAAGTGATACTTAGAGCATTGTATGGCAATAACTTGATAATGCTTTGACGAAATCTTTTCAAATTTAGATATGTTGTTTCCTGTGACTAAATGAAGGTCAAGTTTCATTTTCACAATTTTAGCTTTTATCATTGTAGAGTTTTAGACTTTTTAAGTAGCCAAAAGTGATATTGAGATTGATTTTTGCATTTCTGAACCTTACAAAAATTAATTTATTTTTTTACTTGATCCTGTTTGGGGGTCCAGATTTGCAAATATCATTTTCATGCAGGAAAATCCGGTTTGCTGTCACCCTGACTGCCTCTTGTTTTTTAATTGGTCTAAGGTAGAAAAATGATAGAAAGTAACATTCCAGTAGCAGATCAAGAAATTTTCATAAGAGGGGCCCACTGACTGCCATAAGATGGGCCCGCTTAGTCGTGCTTCAGTGATTCCCTAAATAATCAACCAAATTTTTCCCACAAATGGGGGGCCCAGGCACCCTGGCCCCCCCTAAATCCGCCTCTGTATTCTGATATGTATTTGCATTCAATTTGCCTTAGATTTAATCTTTATACAAAAAAAAAAACATAAACTTAAGGAGTATATTGTGAAAGGTGGCAAAAAAGGGGGAGTAACTCAATTTTTTTTGTCAAACAACTTTGAAATACACAAATTATGACCTTAAGCTAAGTTATTTGGTGTTAATTAACAGTGTGTTTGACACCAAAGTTATTGAGTGAAGCCATCCACTTAATGGGTCACTTAATTTGACAGTTTACACAGCTAGCTGAACTTTCTGTTCAGGAAGAATTATGAATTTGTCAGTATTTCAAAGGAAAATCACTAATGAAATCAGTCTAAAGGCTCAAGAATCCGGGGTAAAAACAGGTCATTTTCAGAATTCCTAGGTCATTTAACAACCCGGCAGGTATTTAAAAAATTCGTAAGGGTTCCGCGGAACCCAGTGTCTCGCCTACTTTTGCTGTTAATCGCAGGCTCAACAAAAATGAGGAAAAAAATGAATAAAAATATTCCTTTCTATACCATCTTTTGATTGTTAGTAGCTTCTGTCCAAGTTTGGTACAAATCCAGGATAGTTTATGAATCTAATAAATGTTTTAAAAACTTAAACTGCAGACTGTATGTAATGTTAACTGGAAGAAAAACTAAGTCCATTTATAAGTAAAATACGGAAAAAATTGAACAAAATTTGAACAAAATTTCCTTCTAGATACTAGCTTTTAATCATAAACAAGCTTCTGTCCAAGTTTGGTACAAATCCAGGATAGTTTAAGAAAGTTGCTAAAATTTTAAAAACTTTAACCACAGAGTGAATGTAATGTTAACTGGCAGAAAAACTAAGTCCATTTATAAGTAAAATACGGAAAAAATGGAATATTTTTTTTACAAAATTTACTTCTGGATACTATCTTTTAATCATAAACAAGCTTCTTTCCAAGTTTGGTAGAAATCCAGGATAGTTTAAGAAAGTTATTAAAATTTCAAAAACTTTAACCACAGAGTGAATGTAATGTTTCTTGGCAGAAAAACTAAGTCCATTTATAAGTAAAATACAGAAAAAAATGGAATTTTTTTTTTACAAAATTTACTTTTGAATATTATCTTATGATCATAAACAAGCTTCTGTCCAAGTTTGGTAGAAATCCAGGATAGTTTAAGAAAGTTATTAAAATTTCAAAAACTTTAACCACAGAGTGAATATTTGTGGACGCCGCCGACGACGACGACGCCGACGGAATGTAGGATCGCTATGTCTCGCTTTTTCGACAAAAGTCGAAGGCTCGACAAAAATTCCGGGGTGAGGGTTGAAATTTACGAGTGTCACCCGCAAGATACGGGTCAGTTGACAGGTATGTGTATATCTAAATTACAAAAAATCTAAAATAAACAATTAATAATACATGGACTCGATAATATGTATCATCATTTTGTGTGTAATTTAGTGTACACCCCATCTAATTAACCATCGGGATCCCGGATGACCTTTGAAGACTGGCGACAATCATATAACCCGATATAAACATAAACATAAATATAAATAGATAGCATTCACATGCAATTGGATTTTTCTAGGTATGTTTGATTTCATATTGTAGGTTAAAAAGTATGTTTATCATCGTTTTTTTTACCTGTACAAGAATGATTTTTTGAGGATCGAATCAGTCAACCAAATGGTTCATCCTTGTTTCACTTTCAATGTTGACATTCTTTTCCTTTTAATAGCTGAATACATGCCTAATCCATCTCCAGCTAAGCGGTTGAATTGAAGGTCACATGAATACAGATTCAATGAGGTTGAATTATTCACTTGCAAGTGAATAATTCACCAGCAATGTTTCTTAGCTTATTTTGACAAAATTGAACCAAACTGGATGCTCAAGCGAATTATATTTCATTATTTCACTTTCATTAATAATTGAACAAACAAAAAAAATCATGTTTTCCTTTTTTTTATATCTCGTAGCTAAAACCCTTTAAGTGTGAGCCCTTTTCAAATCAAGACACCAACTTTCCGTTTTGTTGATGCTTTGAATTTTTCAATATGTTAAATGAACTTAATTTTGTCGTCACACATTTCTCCAGTACTTTATATTTGGGGAGCAGCCTTGAGGTGATGAGTTGTAAAGTTTGAATAGTTTTCAGATCTGCCAGGCACCTGCTTCCAGTTATCCAATACTTTGAATTTTTCAGTATGTTAAATGAAATTAAAATTTTGGTCACTTTTTTCTCAAGAAGTACAGTAACTGAACATCATGATTTGATATTTCGTCAGCAGCTTTGTAGTGTTGAGTTCCAGGTTGGAGTGCTTATCTGGTCTGCCAGACACCTTTTTCATGTTTTCTGATACTTTGAACTACTAGTTACGCATCCATTTCAATGTTATATCCTGCAATAGTCTACTTTTTATGCCCCCGCTGTAGCAGAGGGGGCATTAAGGTTTACCTGTATGTCCCGAAATTGGTTTCCGTTCTCTAACTTTTGTTTGCCTCTACCAAATGTTATGAAACTTATACACAATGCTTATAATGACAAAACTCAGTTCAAGTTCGAATTTGGGTGGCTTCACATTTTTTCAGGAGTTATACCCCTTTATAACATTATTTGCAAGCAGGGGCATCATCTGTGTCCAAGGGACACCTTCTCCATTTATTTTTTCAAAATACAGGTGTACATTTTGAAATTTGATACTGTATATTCAGAAATGATTGCTTACTTTTTTTTTATTTTTGTGCATGTTGAAAAATGAACTATATGGTATGGGTTTTTCTCATTGTTGAAGGCTGTACCATTGCCTATAACTGCTTACATCCACTTTTTTTGAACTTTGGTGGATAGTTGTCGCACTGGCAATCATACCTCATCTCCTTATTTTTATATATTATATATGTGAAATTAATTATTACAATTTCAGGAAATATTGCAAACAAATAACGTTATCAAATCACATCCCATCGCATTTTTCACAATAATAAAAACATCATAATAATTCTGAATTGATAGCATTTTTTGGGATAATTTTTTTTTTAATTTGCAGACAACCAATCGTAAACCAGAATTCCTGGAAAACTGTCTTGTTTTGTATCAACAAGAAGTGGAGATTTTATGTGAAGTTCAAGGTGACCTTCATCCAAACACAGTACGTTCTAGAGAAGATGTCATTATAATCCTGCAGAGTCTTGGTCGAGATGAAGAAGCTAAAAAATATCAAGATCAACAACCAAAGGAACACTCTGCTCTTTAGAACTGTTCTCATTGAGGTTCATGTATTTTTAATTGTTTCTTTTGGACTTTTTTTAACTTTAATATATGTTTTAGTATACTATAAATCAAATATGAGAATTTTGGTCAAATCAGTGAACCTGAATTTGACAGCTAATGCCCCCTAATTGTCAAAAAAAAAAGAAAAAGTCTCTTCAGATTTTTTGGAAATAGAAAAAAGAAAAATATCAACTTATTTTGTTAGACTAGGGGCTTCAGAAATTAAATGCAAATTCATAACTTTGAAAAAGCTAATTGCTAAAAAAATTCAAATTTGACATCATAAGGAGCATAGAGAAGGTTTTTCATTTACGATATTAATTCATATTATTAAACGATATGAATCAGTAAAAAAATATATTCTGCACCTGATCTTTGTGAAAGACTTACTGAAATCTCAGAATTGATGCAGAAAAATCATGACAAATGAGCCTTCTGTGCATGACCCTATGGTACACCTAGGTGTGACCAAACTTAGGCGATATGAAATCTGCAATAAGGTTATAATTAGGAAAAACATGAATATGTGTACAGTATAGGACACCATGCCAAAATCACATTTCCATGTCCAATCTGGCTACAAAATCTGGAACAAACCCTCCTTTGGCATATATTTTAGAAATGTAATAATCAGGACGTAATGAACATGTGAACTAAGTATCAAGTCCATGTGACTACAACTTAATTGTAATCTACCATTAATCAAATCTTTAACCTAATATGTGACACATGGGGAAACAGACGGACAGACACACAGACTGGAAAACAATATGCCCTTCTTATGTAGGCAGGGAATTAAAATAAGTCCCCAAGAAATTAGTGAATTTATAAGATTGACCTCTGCAAATAGGTTGAATGTTAGTTTGTTGGTATATTTAAGGCCACCTTAATTATTGTTAGTTTGTTGGTATATTTAAGGCCACCTTCATTATTGTTAGTTTGTTGATATATTTAAGGCCACCTTCATTATTATTTGTTTGTTTGTGTTTAAAGCCACCTTTATTACACTAGGCTATATATATCATGGCAGCAAGCTGTTATTGATGGAGGAACCTGGACAGAAGCAGGACCTTTGGCCGGAAAACTGGCAATCCTAGTCAATTAAGATCGAAGTTGAACCCACCTTACCAAGAGCAAATTTTGAACTGTAGATGAATTACTTTCACAACATAGCAACTGTGGTACCTTTTACTTTTATTCAATCTGATTTGCTTTTAGTATAACATCTTTTACAAACAATATACACGATTCTGAATTTAAAAACGGGCAATTTTATTTGTATGCATTTATATTTTGTTGGCAAAAAAAGTTTGTTGGAACTTATTGGAGTTTAACTAGTGACCTCTAATTGTATATTTATCAAACCTTCAAATTTTTCAAAATACTAAGTATTTTCTACCCCAGGAAAAGATTGCCTTAGCTTTCAGAATTTTGGATCTTCAGTGCTCTTTAACTTTGCTCTTTATTTGGCCTTTTTAACTCTTTCGATTGGAGCATCACTTATTGGTCTTGAAGACGAAACGCGCATCTGGCATACAAAATTTTAAGACTGGTTTGTGTGATAAGTTTATTAGTTAACTTTTGGAACTCTGTGGCTGCGTTCTTAAACTTTTCAGATAAGAAAATCTACTAATTAGTTTGATGTCAGTGTTAGTCAGATAAAAACAATAAGGTGGATTTTCAATTTTTTTTAATTAGCACAACAGCTTTAAGGTACAAAAAAAAGCACACGAAATGCACAAAAATAAAAGGAAGATTTACAGATAAAAGCAGAATTGGTAAAAAGTCTAATAATATGATACATGTTTAAATAAGACAAAAAATGAAAAGAAAAGATTTAACAGACACAAAAGCAGAAATTGTAAAAGTCTAATACTATGATAAGATATCCTTTAAGATGTATATCCATTTATTTATCGACGACTCCATATACCTTACTACACATATTGAACACGATCATGCACTTGATTATAACCAATTGTTATTTTCTTAAATCAATTACTTATATAATGATTATTGTGCAGTTATATAAGCATTTGCTTTGACAACATCGAAATAATATACAGAGTTCTGTATAATCCATTTTATCACAATACTTGAACACTGTATTTTTTCAACTTCTTTTTGTACCTGCATGTTTATACTTATATGTTGAAGACATTTGTAAAACACTAGTATGTCTCTAGGGGCACAACATTTTTTTTGTTGGTAAAATTATTACAAAACATGATTATTTATAAGCAATCGGTACCAGTAGGGAAACTGGGAAATTTTTTGTTATATAAAGATCTGTGATATTTACTTTTTTTTCTTGTTGATATTTTGCAACATTTATATTTTGAATATTTTACACATATGATAACTTATATTATAAACTTTTATAAAGATAATTAAAATACAGATGTTGTGTCCACTATCCATTCTAATTTCTGTTTTAATGACCTTTCTGCACCCTAAGGTTTTTCTGTAATGATACACACCTTCGAAAATTAGACAAACATTAATTGATTTAAAAGTTATCAGAACAGAAAGTAAAACAAAGTCTTGTCAGATCCTTGAAAGCGAAGGGTAGACAGACAATATTTTTATCTTAGTCAAATTGAACTTTGAACTTTTATTTACAAGCAGCATTAATTCACCATTGAAAATTCATTAAATGTCTTGCACTAAAAGCTCAAGTGGATTTTGTCATTTTGTCCTGTCCGACTCATGTCCACCTAAATTTAATGTCATAGCTTGTAAAAATATTGTCCTGGTACTTGGAAAGCAAACTCGTGTCCACTCAAATTTAATCTCATAGTTTTTAAAAATATTGAAACGGGATGATCTTTGAAATTTATTTCAATTTAAAGACACCTGTTAAGGTAGCTGGGGTGTCTTCCTCCATATTGGATTTTGAAATAGCAGATATCAATCGTTCTAGATTTAAGATGAAATGTGCAAATTTCGAGAGTAGTATGTAATTCATGTGTAAGACTGGTCATGTTAATATAGAAAATGATGTGTTTTATCATATTTACGGCTGTATTTTACAAAAAACAGAATATTTTTGTTTGATTCACTTTTCCCAACTTTGCCACATAAGGGTAGATAACTCATATATAAGGGGACATAACTCAGATAAAGTAACTTTTATAATAGAATGTGTTGTGAATTTACCTATTTTATTATATAGCAAGAAAACTAGTCCTGTGACCCCATTTTTTTCTTTTTCTTATCTGAAAGCATATTATTCGAGCTATCTTCTCATGTTTTGTCTTAAAATTCTATGGTGTAGTTTTCTTTATATCACACAAAATTGGGTTTTCCATGCATAATCTATACAAAATCTGACAATTTGGCACAACCTGTAGCGTGATAAAAAGCCAGGTGACCCATACTTTTTTGTATTTTTGAAAAAAGCATGACATAAACTACATTTTGGTAAATTATTAAAAATTCTATGGATTTTAATTTAGACCCCTATCTACTTTTAAGTGGATTTTGCCATTTCATCCTGTCCACCTGCCAGCTCATGTCTACATATATTAAGTGTCATTCCGTTTAAAATATTGTCTGACCTGGAAAGCCAGCTCATGTCCACAGATATTAAGTGTCATTCCGTTTAAAATATTGTCTGACGTGGAAAGCCAGCTCATGTCCACAGATATTTAGTGTCATTCCGTTTAAAATGTTGTTCGACGTGGACAGCCAACTCACATGTCAACTCAAATTTAATGTCATAGCTTGTAAAAATATTGTCCAAGTACTTTGAAATCCCACTCGTGTCCACTCATATGTATTGCAATATCTTGTAAAAGTATTGAAACTGGAGGATGTTAAAAATTTATCACAATTTAAGGACAACTGTTTCAAACATGAAAAAAAAAGACATACTAATTTTATTGAAGACAAAGCAATCCTCTCAATTAGCCTTTTTCAGATTAGTTCATAGTCAAAACTTTAAATGCAGATTCTAGAAAGTGACCCAAATTCAAATGACAAAAACAATCAGAGATCAGGTTTAAATAAAAATTATTATGCCTTTAAAAAAAAAAACAAAATCATGATAAGATTTTAAGGTCTGATTGAAAAATTATGATTTCAAAATTTATAAATTTTCATAAATCACTCACTAACCATCTCAGACCTTTCAGGTCCTTTGGCTATAAAGATCAAAATTAGTTTAAGGTTTGGCCTAGTGTCATTGTGTCTACAAAACAAATGGCTTGTGTTGCTGGATATATTGTTGGTTAAATCCATAAATAACAAAACTTTATACTTGGCAATCATCATTCTGATAATGAACTTTCAATGCTGTATTTAAATTGAGTGTAATACTAGCACACCATTCAGGATGCATTTATCTCTTGTAATATGTGTGTATTTATCCTGAAATAAACTGGTATCCTGCTTGTGGGATGTGTGTAAAATGTTGGGAAAGAGATAATTTATTTGTACTGGCTAGGAAATAAGTAAAATGGGGGTGAGCCTGGCTTTTCTTCCTATATATACTTACAAAATGTTGTTTGTCGTACATAATAACATTGTTTTCCAAAAATTTAGACATATTGGGCATAAATAATTAACATATATTGGACATGCTTTGAATATATAATATTATATATGTAATAGAAAAGATATATTATACTGTAAAGATAATTTTTTTTCAATGAACATGATTATCTTCAATTAATCTTATTAAAAAAAAACGATGTGAATTTCATGTGAAACTTTAGTGAACTACAATCAGTTACATGTGCAATTACCTTTTGGAATAATTTTATTTATTATACTTCATGTCAAAATGCCAGATTTTGATTGGTTAATACGAGGGAGACAATTTACTCTATCCCATGACAAATACTCTATTACCCTTCACGGAGACGCTTGCTCAAGCGTGCGCTTATAGTTTATTACTTTAAATTTGAAATTTAATAGACAGTAATAACAGAACATTCGAATCAGTATAATAAATTAAATAACACATATCTGAGAGGGTGATAGAGCAGATTGTTACCCCTCGAAAAGACATTGTCAACCTTGGCTTTGCCTCAGTTGACAATGTTTTCTCGGGGTAACAATCTGCTCTATCACCCTCTCAGCTATGTTTTATTCATATAGTGTGCTACAAATGTTAACTAGACAATCAAATGCATGTAAAATCTCAGGGCACTCTCAAGATAATTGTACAAAAACTTTACAATCATTGAAATTTGTTTACTAGTATAGCTATATATATTTACTTAAGATTTATATTGTAAGGTATAATACACATTATCTGTGATTATTGCTATTGATTTTTTTCCCCAATATACAATGATATTTATATATTTATCACTGTTTTCTTAAATTTTGCTTTGATCTTTTTGTGAGATAATTTTCCATATCAAGCTACATTGTACTGGACTGAGAATGGTTTTTCTCAGTTGAGTAGTGTGAGAACATGATGACGTCATAAGCTTATGTCATTGATGATTCCTAGGAAAATAGTGGTAAACAGTTATCCTATTGGCTTTAAACTCTAGGAAGTTTCTCGACAAATTTTTATTAAGGTTTGGAAGGTACATTGGCATTATTTTTTACATCAAACCCACCACCTTAAAAAACTTTTTTATTTTTTACATCAAACCCACCACCTTAAAAAACTTTTTTATTTTTTACATCAAACCCACCACCTTAAAAAACTTTTTTATTTTTTACATCAAACCCACCACCTTAAAAAACTTTTTTTATTTTTTACATCAAACCCACCACCTTAAAAAACTTTTTTATTTTTTACATCAAACCCACCACCTTAACAAACTTTTTTATTTTTTACATCAAACCCACCACCTTAAAAAACTTTTTTAATGAAAATATTGTTATTTTATTGAATTTGTGAAGTAAAAATCCTGGCCCATACTATTTTTTTGTGATAAAAATGTTGTATATTAAATAGCAGTAAGTTGTTAGAGCATTTTCTGTAGACATTATATTTTTTTAGGAATTTGAAAAGATTATATAAGTTAGGAAACTGATTTCAGTAATGTTTCTTTTTAACAATGTTTTAACCAGAAAATGTCAATAACCTATGACCACCAATTTATTTTTGAAATATATGTACTTGTTTTTTTATACAAATATACATTTTTATTATTTTACTTTTTATTTATCATAAATATTTTGTTTGTTTTTATACATTGAATCAGACTAAAATGAATAGAGAAATATAATAATATGTAGATTTCTGTCCATTACTGTCTGTTATTGCATGGTGTAGTTATCCATTAAATATTGATGTGAAACCATGGAAATACTGTAGTGTTAACATTGATGTGCAACCATGGAAATACTGTAGTGTTAACATTGATGTGCAACCATGGAAATACTGTAGTGTTAACATTGATGTACAACCATGGAAATACTGTAGTGTTAACATTGATGTACAACCATGGAAATACTGTAGTGTTAACATTGATGTGCAACCATGGACATACTGTAGTGTTAACATTGATGTGCAACCATGGAAATAATGTAGTGTTAACATTGATGACCAACCATTGAAATACTGTTAATATTGATAAATATTGCTAATGTTGATGTTCAATCATGGAGGTACTGTTAAGATTGATTTGCAACCATGGAAGTACTGTTAATATTGATGTTTAATCATGGAAGTACTGTGAATATGTATGTACAACCATGGAAATACTGTTGATCATAATTTATGTGCAACTATGGAAATACTGTAACTATTGATGTGCAACCTTGAAAATACTGTTAATATTGATGTGCAACCGTGGAAATACTGTTAACCTTGATGTGCAATAGTATATATTTGTTATATACATACTACACATTGTATTAATATTTATTGTTTTGTGACACATTTCTCATATGTCACATGTCACCTGACCATAGGTTTTCATCATAGTGAGGGTGTCAAAATGGAAAAGTGAAAATATTTTAACTGGAAATATGTTAAAATCTTTTCAATTGGTTGATTCACTGTTAGAGAGGTTAGACAGATGAATAGAAAAATGTCACATGCTATGACTTTCTAACTCTCCACTTTGAAACAGTCTCTATTTCAAAACTTCTGTATGATAATGGGAGTAAAATATGATGTTTACCATAATGAGAGTTTAATCATGTAAAAAAAGGATATTTTCACTAATCCTGTATATTCTACTATGGTCAATGTTTACCCACATCATATAAAAATAAGAAGATGTAGTATGATTGCCAATAAAACAACTTTCCACAATAGACCAAATGACACAGAAATTAACAACTATAGGTCACCGTACGGCCTTCAACAATGAGTAAAACCCATACTGCATTGTCAGCTGTATTAGTTCTTTTACTATTAACTACTTACTATCTATTTGTGTATGTGTATTATTGACTTCTTTTTATTTTATAAACATTGAAAATAGGGGCTTGGCATTTTTTCTAGTTTTTTGCTGTTGCTTTTCTTTAAAGGGGAGGGGTAATTGAAAAAAAGTTCATTTGTTTATGGAAAACTTTTGACAAGTTGAAAAAAATGTTGTTACATTGCTAACAATTAACTTATTATGTTGATTTCTATCCAGGATCTTAAAGGATTTTAATGTTTTTTTATACAAGTGTATATATTTATTTACAATCAGGGAATACATTCAAGTTTGAGCAGAAGCTCAGGTTTTTACTTCAATGTATTAATTATCTGTTTCTATTATTGTTAGTATTTGATATTTTCATTTCATTTTCTGTTATAAATAAACTTTATCTTTTTAACTTTATTTTTGTGTATATGAAGAAAAGGAGACATAGGTTATACATCAGTGAGACAGCTACCAAAAGACAAAATAACCTTAATTATGTTAGGTAATTGTTTACTAGAGCAACATACTGTCTTTCACAATATACATGTGTCTATGTAATATGTCAAGCTCCAAATCATCCTGAGTCTGAAAAAATTGTGAATAATTTAAACAGAAACAAGATGTGCCATAAAAAAGATGCAGAATATACCAAAGGTACATTAAAAACTCAAAAGTCCAAGAGAAACTGATAAAACTTTGGCAAAAATGAATCTTAAATTTGTTTATTTGGCAAAACAAAGTAGTGGTTTGGTAATTGAAGGATACCGTATTTAGCAGTGTTTAGGACGCAGTTTTTAAAGTCTACTTCACTGAAAAACCATGTATTTAATCTACATTTACGTCTATTGAAAGATAAAAATGATATATAAGATTGTTTGTTCAATCAAATCTTTTTTTGTAATATTTTTTGTCAAATTAAATAATTTAGAGCCAGTAAAATAAAATGGTAAAGCTTTTATCATGTAATTAACATTTTGTAAAAGTAAAGTTATTAATTTAAGATTCCTTTTGAAATCAATGTTTGTCTAAGCTTGTCCAAACTGATGCAATGTTCAAATATTATAAAAAGAAATAATTGGAATGTTATAGAACAAAAGAAATTAGAGCTCAAACATTTTTATACGACCGCAAACATTTTTTGCGGCTGTACATTGGTATGACGTTGGCGTCGTCGTCGTCTTCCGAAGACACATTGGTTTTCGCACTCTAACTTTAGTTTAAGTCAATGGATCTCTTTGAAATTTTACCATAAGGTTCAATACCACAAAAGGAAGGTGGGGATTCATTTTGGGGGTTATGGTACCAACAGTTAAGGAAAAAGGGGCCAAAAATAAGCATTTTCTAGTTTCCAGACAATAACTGTGGAACGGTGTATGGATCTCTCTGAAATTATACTACAAGTTTCCATACCTCGGAGGGATGGTTAGGATTTGCTTTAGGGGGTTATGGCTCAAACCGTTTAGGAATTAGGGGCAAAAAAGGGGGAAAAACAAGGTTGTCCTGGTTAATTAACAAATACTTTAGTACAAAACATAATTTAAAGCAGTGTAAGGGAGATAAATCAAATACATCATTGAAATTATCTCCCTTACACTGCTTTTAAATTATGTATAAAGTAATGGTTAATGAACAATTAAGATAATTTAAAACAGTGTAAGGGAGGTAATCCAAATACAACGTTTTGGTTACTTCCCTTACACTGCTTTTAAATTATGTTTAAAGAAATGCATATTTATAAAGGAAGACCAGTAAAAATATCTGCAAATGTTGCATCTTTTTTTTTTACAAAAAAATCCATATGAAAGATTTGACACTATATTTTAAATTCTATTATAAAATAGATTAAGTTAGCACTATGGTAAATTTAAATGGGTAATTATGGTTGCAAACTCCATCGGAAATATGAATTGAGATTATGACCATATCTTGAGGGAAAGAATTTTTTGGGGGAAAAAAGGGGGGGGGGGGGTAAAAAGAAATTGTGGGGGGTCAATTTTTTCTCATTTCAGATTTCAGAAGTTAAAAAGAATTATCCTTCAAATATTTTTTTTTTTCAAATTTCAAATATTGAAAAATTTCAAGAAGTAATCTTTAATTGCACAGTATGGCGCATTAGATTTGTAAAATCTTTGACCACATTTATTTATTTGTTATGCCGAATCTAACCGTGTATTTAGATTTTTAGTTTTGGGTCCAGTTTTCAAATTGGTCTACATTAAGGTCCAAAGGGTCCAAAATTAAACTTTGTTTGATTTTAACAAAAATTGAATATATGGGGTTCTTTGATATGCTGAATCTAAACATGTATTTAGATTTTTGATTTTTGGCCCAGTTTTCAAGTTTGTCCAAGTTGGGGCATTCTTTCTGTGTCAGAAACCGATGCTGTGTCAAATCACAATCCAAATTCAGAGCTGTATCAAGCTTGAATGTTGTGTCCATACTTGCCCCAACTGTTCAGGGTTCGACCTCTGCGGTCGTATCAAGCTGCGCCCAGCGAAGCATTTTATTTTTCTAAATTGATTAGCAGTAATCAAAATTTTATAACTCATTAATCCGATGTTTTCTTTTTCATTGATCATGTTCATTTAGAGCACTGCCTCAGGTTAATATATTGAACACCTGTCAAAAGTTGACATGATTATTCTATTGCTGCACACCCATACTTAATGCTTAATTACCCTTTTAGCTCACTCATGCAGGATGTCACACCTGTGTACTTTGAATATTCAATAAAGAAGGAAAAAATATTATTACAAATTTTAAATAAATAGATAAAATGAAAAACGTCTTGAATACATACAATAATGAAGAAGAAAAAAGTTAGTAATAAAAAAAAATTGGGGTAAAAAAGTGCGTATTATACACACCAAGATACGGGTATAATGTTTTTGATCCGTCTGTCAATCAGTCAGTCCTGTTCTTGTCATCGCAACTCCTCTGAAACTCCACAACAGAATTTCAAGGAACTTTGTAGATAATAAGGACAAATTTTGTAGATCTGCATATCGACAAAAAGTTATGATTCAATTTATTTTCTAAGAGTTATGACCCTTTCAACTTACAATTTTGTCCTAGATATACTACTGCAACAGTTTGTCATCGCAACTCCTCTGAAACTATACACAGAATGTCATGAATCTTTGTAGATAATTAGGAAATACTATGTAAATGTGCATAGAAATAAGAAGATGTGGTATGAGTGCCAATGAGACAACTCTCCATCCAAGTCACAATGTGTAAAAAGTAAACAATTATAGGTCAAAGTACGGCCTTCAACACGGAGCATACTCAGCAAACAATTCATCGTTGTTACAACGTTGTGACAACTTTAGTTTACTGTTGTGACAACATTGCAAAATGACGTGAATACAACGTTATTTTGTAGACTCCAAGACACGACCTGGCCACCATCCACACAATGTTGTTACGGTGTAATAATTCAGACTGTTTCTTTTAGGTGTTTTCTAGACAGCAGATGATAGTACAGAAATACGAAACAAAATACCTCCTCTTAGTTTATTTGTATACGTATATGCTTATTTGTTATTGTTTCTAAGAATTTCATTTATTTCCATTTCTTTAGATTTTAGAAGGCTAGCTAGTTTTCGATGTTTTGACTATCTTAGTTATGCGAAAGCCAAACTTATCACTAAGACAGAGGAAATCAGTTAGTCATCAGAGACTGATTTACCTCACTCGTGTCAATGATAAGCTGATTTTTTTTATCTTTATATTTTTTTTTTTATCTTTATGATACTATGATTAATTTCTTTTTGTATTTCAGATTGGTTTTACATATTTTTTTATTTTTTGCATTAATTGTTTTTTATATTACTAAGAAATAATAAAATTTTCTATAAAAGATACAGTAAGCAAAAGGGTTAAAATGATCACCAAAACCTAAATTGTTTAAACTGTGGTATAAGAAGGGGAGATAAGAACTATATTTAAAACTATATTTCACTGCTTTTTGTTCATTAGTTCAACTTCTTTCGTACTGTGAAACAGAAAAATAATGTTTAGTCCCTAAATGTTTTATTAAGGTATGGTATTTGTTTTACTTTTTACTCAACTTATATTGCATATATAAGACAAAAATAAAATCATATAACAGAGTTTCTGCAATCTTGTGACAACGTTGTCAGAACTATATATGTACAGAACGTTGTAACACCGTTGGAGACATGTTGTCAATTATAGGAATAACTTTTACCTCCAAGCAATGCTGTACCAACGTTATCCCACAACGTTACATACTCGTCAGTGCTCAAAGTTATCTTTGTGTACGTTGTCACGACGCTATCATAACGTAATTCTATGACGCGACGTTAATACGACCTCCAGCCAACGTCGTTAATACGTCGTGTGTTTGCTGGGTATCGACAGGAAATTATGATTCAATGTTTTTCTGGGAGTTATGCTCCTCTAAAACCACTGAACAGAATTTCATGAAACTTTGTAGATAATAAGGACATATAATGTAGATGTGCATATCGACAGAAAATTATGATTCAATGTTTTATCTAAGAGTTATGCTTAGAATTTTGACCTAAATATACTACTGCAACAGTCTGTCAGTGCAACTTCTCTAAAACCACACAAAATAATTTCATAAAACTTTGTAGTTAATGAGGATATGATATGTAGATCTGCTTATCCACAAGAAATTTTCATCGGTTGAATTTTGTAGGAGTTATGAGGGTCTGGATGGGGTCATTCGAATTCAATTCTATACTGCATAATTTTAGTCTCGCCTTCGACGAAAGTCGCGGAAAACGATTGTTAAGTTGTCTGCTCAAGTTAGTTTGATAGGAACTACTTGTGATAGATCATTGATATTTAATATCAAGTTGCATTACTATCAGTACATATCAGTTTGACGACTATTTCGAGGCCCTGCACCCTAGGTCATAGTCCAGCAACTGTAATTAATTAGCAATGTTCAATGTTAAGTTTTCTGATTAAGTTAGTTTGATACGACATACTTGTGATAGATCTTTAATATTTAATAAAAAGTTTCATTACTATCGGTACATACTAGTTTGACAATTATTGTGAGGCCCTCCCCTAGGTCATGGCCCAGTGACTTTGAATTAATTAGCAATTTTCAATGTTAAGTGTTCTGCTTAAGTCAGTTTGATAAGAACTACTCAGTTGTGATAGATCAATGATATTTTGTTTAAGGTTGCATTACTATCAGTACTTATCCTATCAGTTTGACGATTATTTTCAGGCCCTGCCTACTAGATAATGGTCCAGCGACTGAAATAATAAATCATGTTGCTGTCCATCAGATTGTCTATTTTCTGAATGTTATGCCGACAGGCGAGACATATCTTTGTGTCAACAGTTTATTTAAATAATTTGTCTCTACTCTTTATAAATATCGCCCATTATTCTCCTTTTTACCTA